ACGCGGTGCTGCAGGGGTGCAGGAAAGGACCCCAATCCCTCCCCATCACCGAACTGATGGCCGGGACGGGTCCTGAGCTGGGGAGAGCCGCCCATTGCCTTCAGCCCCACTCATCTGTGCTCTCCTTCCTCTTGCAGAGTCGGTGCCGATGGCGGTGATCATCGGGGTGGCCGTGGGGGCCGGCGTGGCATTCCTGGTGCTGATGGCCACCATCGTCGCCTTCTGCTGCGCCCGCTCCCAGCGAAGTAAGTGCAGGGCGAGCGCAAACGGCCAAACGCAAAGGCCAACTGTGCTCCCACTGATGGGCAGGGAGCACTGCGGGTTTGTCTCCTTTGCCATCCCCTTCTCTTCCACCACTGGGGCATCGTATCAGCATCAATTCCATTGCGGTGAGGTCAGAGGTAGAGAGGCAGCAGCGTGCTTCTGTGCGGTGGGGACTCATTTTGTACCTGGCTGCTGCAGATTCCTCTCTCAGGACAAATTTCAGAGTTCTGTGGCATCAGTTAAACAACAGCCTGCAAACAGAGCATTCCTGTGGAGGGATGCTGCGACCGACCATAACTCTGGGGTGGCATCTCCTGCTGAGGACGCAGCAGAACGGAGGCTGGAGGCCGTTTGTCTTCTGGAAAAGAAAGGGAAAAAAGGCTTTATGGCACATCTGGTGTTGTATTGCTGGTGACAACACGGCCCGGTGTTATTTAAGGCAGCGCTCCTGGGGGAGGATGTGCAAGACAGTAATTAGCTTTTCCCTGTGATTAAATTCAGAGGCTCCTGCACCAGGAGTGTCATCCCAGCCAAAAACAAAGGCACAAGAAAGCAATAGGGGCCTCTCAGCACAACCCTGAGGCGTGGGGCAGCCGGCCGTGGGCAAGAGCAATGCTGAGTGGAGATGGGCTGAGCCCAGAGCGCTGAGCTGGGGGCTGCTCGGGTCTCAGGTTCACATCCATCCCCGGTTTTCACTTTGGATCCGTGCTGTTGTTTCTCCTCCCACTGCTCGCCTAGTTTTTCAAAAGGAACTTCTTCAAAGCATGCCTGACACCTTCCGGGCAGCTGCGTGACAGCGGCGCTGCGCTGGGCCTCGCGCTGCCTGCGCTCCATCCATCACTTGGCCTTTCCTTTCTGTAGCTGTGCCCCATGGCTGGAGGAGCCCTTCTGGGCCCAGCTCTGCCTGCTGGGCTGGGTCAGGGTGGACCCTGGGGATGTGTGGCTGCCTGGAGCTGAGCTCTTCTCCCTCTCTGCCCAGATCTGAAAGGAGTGGTTTCTGCCAAGAATGACATCCGCGTGGAGATCGTGCACAAGGAGCCGTCCTCGGGCAGGGAGACGGAGGAGCACCCCACCATCAAGCAGCTGATGGTAAGGACTTCCTTCCCCTCAGTGTGAGAACATCACCGTGCTCTCCTGGCCGCACTGGAGATGTCAGGAAGTGCCGAAGCAGTGCGTGCAGATGGTGGTTTGCCTGGGGAAGCAGCAGGGAACGGATGAGCTGGGGGTGACGGTGGGGTGAGCCTGGCTGCCTTCACTGGTGCTGCTGGGTTGGTGTGGGAGGTGACAAGCACAAGCTGAACACAAACTGTGGGATCACAGAGTTGTTAGGGCTGGAAAAGACCTCCGAGATCACCGAATCCACCCCCATCATGCCCACTAACCGACTGGCTTTCTCTTTCCCCCTTTCTTTTCCCTAAGAATCACACTTGCGTTGGTTGTTCTGCAGCCATCTGTGACCTGCACGGCTCTGTGCTTCTCACAAATAATTATTCATGCGTCTGTAGGTTCGTTAACACCTTAGGAGACTCGTCATGCTGGCTGATTTGCATTTGTTCAGGTTATCTCAGCACGATCCCCAGTGCTACAGGTGGAGGGAAGGCTGCCAGCCCAAAAAGCAAACAGGCCACCCAGCGCAGTGTGCGGTGCCACGCACCCGCATCAGCACAGCCGCTCTGGGACCCGACCACGGGCAATCCCCATTGAAACCCTGTTGGCTCCTGTAACGAACCCAAAGAAATTAAGATCTGCTCTGCAGGATCCGCCAGCCCCGATGAAAGCGGTGCCATTTGGAGTGCTCAGCACGCGGCGGATTAGGGAGCACTGCTCATAATTAGGCACTATTCCTGGGCCGTGCACAACCTTGAGGCGTCCCCTCAATGCTTCAGAAAAGCCAGAGTGGTGCTCTGCAGCAGGGCAGCTTTGCAGCAGGGGAAACTGAGGCACAGCAGGGATTGAAACTAGATGATCATCGTGGTCCTTTCCAACCCAGCCCATTGTATGACTCTATCACAAGGTGCCACTGGGCTCATCCTTTGGGGCCGCACCGCTGTCCCAGGCCAGGTCCTCAGCACCTCCAGACGTAGGCAGGATCAGATTCTCCCTGGGAAAGCCTTTGGGCTGTCGCTGGGCCCGGTGCTGCAGGCACAGCAGCTCTGGATGGGCTGCTCCCATTCCACCAGCGCCTCTCATGGGCATTCCTTCTTTCAAGCAAAACTCAGGTACTTTAATTTATTGCATTTAATAGCTGCATCAAAGGCTTTCAGAAGATGAAGAGAAAGTGCTGGAGGGTACATTTCCACAACCACTTACCTTTTTAAAAAAGGGAAAAAAATAAAACCAGGAGAGTAAAGCCCTCTGGGGCACAGCATTGGGGCTCCGTGCCCAGAATCCAGTGGCCGGAGCTGCACAATCGATGCGAGCTGAGATAAAAGGCAGCAGAGAAATTGGCTGGTAATTAGCCAGCCTGCACATCCCCACCTTTCTGGAGGAAGGGTAATTAAAGGCGTGTAATTAATGCATACCTTGCCTCCGATGGTGGTCAGCCTTCAAAAGAGGAAGTAATGAGGCAGAGAGGTGCAGGATCTCTGGTGCAGCACAGCCCACGTCAGCATGGAGCAGAACCCTCTGGGACTCACATGTTTTGAGAAGAGCCAAAGTTGGGGGATTGAAAAAAAAGTAATCAAGGCTTTCACATTAATTACGGCACTGTGTCTGTGCCAAAAGCCAGCTGGGACTTTTCTTTTCTTTTTTTTTTTTTTTTTTTTTTTGGAAAAGCTGTTGAGCAGCCAAGTTCAGACTGGGAGGGAAGGATGAGAATGCAGAAAAAGGGGAAAAAAAGATAAAGGAAAAAAAGAGAGGTGGGGGTTTCTCTGGACAGGGATCACAGTGCCAGAGTGCTTTGCAGCCACAGCTGCGGCTGAGCTCCCGGGTCCAGAGCAGAGGCACCAATGCAGGCACTCAGGGTGCTGATCTCTGCCCGCTCCTTCCCAGATGGACCGGGGTGAGTTCCAGCAGGACTCCGTGCTGAAGCAGCTCGAGGTGCTCAAGGAGGAGGAGAAGGAGTTCCAAAACCTAAAGGTGAGCCCTGCAACACAGCCACCCCCCACATCAACTCCAGGCTGCCTGCCCTGGTGCTGCCTCCCGTGCCACCCTGTCCCCAAGCTGGGTGGGATGCTGGGGTGCCACCAGCACTGCCTTTGGGGAACCCACGGCGCTGGGGAGCGGGTTGGGTAGCGCGGGGTGCCGCAGTGAGACGGAAGGGATTTGGGGCGACCCCACCAATATCCCCCACCCGCCCACAGGACCCCACCAACGGCTACTACAGCGTCAACACCTTCAAGGAGCACCACTCCACGCCCACCATCTCACTGTCGGGCTGCCCTGCGGACCTGCGGCCGGCCGGCAAGCAGCGCGTGCCCACAGGCATGTCCTTCACCAACATCTACAGCACGCTGAGCGGGCAGAGCCGCCTCTACGACTACAGCCAGCGCTTCGTGCTGGGCATGGGCAGCAGCTCCATCGAGCTGTGCGAGCGTGAGTTCCAGCGCGGCTCCATGAGCGACAGCAGCTCCTTCCTCGACACGCAGTGCGACAGCAGCATCAGCAGCAGCGGCAAGCAGGACGGCTACGTGCAGTTTGACAAGGCCAGCAAAGCCTCCGCCTCCTCCTCCCACCATTCCCAGTCTTCGTCCCAAAATTCGGACCCCAGCCGGCCCCTGCAGAGGCGGATGCAGACGCACGTTTGAACCGCGGGGGACGATGCGGTCGCCAAGGGGCTGCGGACCCCCAGGGACAGCAGTGCTGGAATCAGGACCCAGGAGTGGGGCGACGGGGCTGAGCACAACCCCGCTGAGGACACAGGGCTTGGGGACACCGCCATCCCCACGCCCACCCCACCGCTCCACTTGCCCCCCCCCCGCCCCCCTCCTTCCCTCTTGGTGTTCGGGGTCCAAAATTATAGCGTCTGTTTTGGGGGGGTCCCGTCGTGTGGGGTTTGGGGTGGGGGGAACACGCCAGCAGGGACGGGGACCCCCCCGAGTGCCCCGGGAAGGGCCTCACCGCGCTGTATCGCGGGCAATACAAGAGGTGTTTCTCGTGGCATGCCTGGGCTGATGGCCTCGCCACCATGAAGACCGCAAGGGCAGCGTCTTTCAGGTGACCCCAACAGGAGCTTGGTGGTGGGGAGGTGGGGTAGGTGGGCCCGGGGGACGCCCGATGGATGGGGAAACCGAGGCACGGGGATGGCCACCGCCAGGGCAATGCTGCTGGTGATGCAGGAGCCAGGACAACGTGCTGGGGAAACGGCAGGTAAGGACCCAGCAGGTAGGGAGGGGACACGGGTGCTGGGACACAGAGCACAAGGGGACACCCACACACACACACACGGACACGGGGGCAGGAACATGGAATGTGTGGACATGGTGATGTGATTATAGGGACAGTGCCTGGAGTCATAGGGTAGAGGGCAGAGGGACACACTTGGGGGGACACTAGGTTTGGGGACTTGGAGACATAGCATACTCCCAGGGACACACGGACATGTGCATGGGGACACGAACAGGGACACTGGGACAGGGCACAGAGACACTTGAGGACAAGGGGACACAGTCACACAGCAGGGCACAGCGAGGTCTCAGTCACTCCCTCATCCCCTCTCCAGCCCCAGCATGGAACACCCAGCCCAGTCGCACCAGGACCTTTATTGGGTGCCAGCAGGAGCCCCCCAACACCCCAAGGTCCATGGGTCCCAGGGCCCCCCTTCCCCAAATCCTGGGGGATGCAGGATCCCATGTGAGCAAGGCGCCGATGGTGGGACAAAAGGCACCTTTGGGGAGGGGGGAGCCCCCCCTGCACGAGGCCACAGAGGAGGGAGGCCCCATGATAAATAATCTTTTAAATTAATTAAATTAATCTGCACCGCTGTGTCACCCCCACGCCCCCTCACGGGCCACCAAAGGGTGCTGCAGGGCTGAGCCCCCCACACCAGCACTAAGGCATGAGGCTGGGCCAATGTGTAAAAAGAAAATTAAAAAGAGGAGGGGGGAAGAAGGGAGGAATTAAATATTTAGGGTGCCCAGCTGGGAGGGGGCTGCAACTCAGCCTCCCACCCACAGGGGACTCCCCCAGGACCCCCCATCAGCCCCTCCTCAGGCTCCTCATCCCGAATGCAAGAGTATCCAAGGGAAGAGGGGGGCTCCAATGCACCCTGCCGTGCCCCCCAGACCTGCTGGGGGGAGGTTCCCTCCATCCTCCCCAGAATCCCTCCCCAGTCCTCACTAGTTTCAGTGTTTCCATACGAAAAGTCCCCGTTGAGGGGCTCCCTGCGCCCCTGGGGCCGGCGAGCCGGCGTGGCCCCCACAGTGCCACCAGCATCGTGATGGGCACAGGGACACCGGCTGCTCCAGGACCTCGGCGGGCTCCGAGGTGGGGACGTGTCCCTGCGCAGCCCCATTGCACTCAGAAGTACGTGAGGTTCTTGACCAGTCCCAGCTCCAGCATGCGCTTGATGGCCACCGCCTCGTGTGAGATGTTGTGCTCCGAGGCCTGTGGGACAGCAGGAACGGGTGAAACCAGAGCCGGGGCGGGGGGCAGGCACAGTAGGGGGACACTCACAGCCATGGACTTGAGCGTGATCTGCTCGTAGTAGTGGATGGTTTGCTTCTTGTTGGCTGAGTCAGGGTACCCAAAGCCTGCAATGTGCACCAGGTCGCAGAAGTGGAGAGCCAAGGTGATGGCCAACAGCCCTGTGGTTGGTTTCTGGGGAAAAGATGGAGAAGCCATGGGGAGAATCCCAAAACCCAAGCCTCCCACAGGGCGCAGGGACAGCAGCATCCTCCTGCTGCATTGAAACCCATTAATAATCCCACAAATACACAACAGGTTTGACAAAGAGATGCTCAGCAGTTACAAAGCCACGCCATTACCTGTTTGACCTTCCGTGGCTGCTTCATGGGGAGGCTGAGCAGTTTAGCAGCAGTTACTTCCATGTAGTAAGGGTTGAGGATGCGCACTTGCTCCGGGTTGGCATCCCAGATCAACGGGGGCTGCTTCCAAAACCCTTTACGAACCTGGAAGAGGATGGAGACCTCCTGCTAAGAGATGAATCCCCCACAGTGCTGGGGGTGAAGGCACAGCCACCACGGACGGGGCTGACCCTGTGGTCACCGGTTCCCAACCACACTTGCCCTCTTCTTGTCGTTGAGGATGGCCTCCATCCACTGGAAGTCCATGGGCTTGAAGGGCACCAGCACCAGCAGCGTGTCGGGGTTGTTCTCTGCCTGGGGGTCGAAGTGGGCTGACTCGGGGTAGAAGAGCCGCATGGTGGTCTTGGAGCCCACATCCTGCTCATAGCCGTGCACCGGCGCGTTGTTCAGCCTGGGGCACGGGGACGTTGCTCAATGGGTGATGAGTGACACGTGGCAGGAACCTGCCGATGGTGCTGGGCAAGGGTGGGTGGCCCACAGGGACGCCCAGGGCCGTACCTGATCACCACGTCGTAGGTGTTGATGGTGTCCCCCATGGAGCTGTTGCGGAGTCGGTGCCCATTGCCCACCACCACGCACCTCCGGCACTTCAGGCTGTGGGGGAAAACCAGCACCTGAGCCAGATGTGCTCAGAAACGATCACCTCTTCAACCTCAGAGGGGTTTCAGCCCTGCCTTCACTACACTGCAAAGCTCCCCATACGCCATCCCTACTCCCAGGTGGCCAAGCTGCCAGGTCTCTGGTGATGCCTGTGCACAACTTCACACTCAAATGTTACACCCCCAAGAGTAATTCCTGCTGCATTACCTCTGGATGCTCTCGGGCAGCGGGTAACTGGTGACCGACAGCAGGCGCAGGAGGACATCCTCTGCAAAGCAACAGCTTGGAAGTGACAGCATCCCCAGCAGCACATCAGTGCCCACCCACACCTGTGTGGCCTTAACCCCCACGGTCCACACCTGGGGACCTGTTAAATGTGCCCCCACTTTTGTAGGGACCATAAACAGGGAAGCAGGCACCCATGCACGGACAGACAGACGCCCACCCCGTACTCAGGGAGGCAGTGGCTCACCGCTGCCTTTGGTGCCATAGGGCAGCTCGTAGAGCGACGGCGTCCTCACCCAGAAGTAATCCTTCAGCTGCAGGAAGAGCGGGCGGTCCCTCGTGTAGCTGCAAGGAGTGAGGGGGGGGGTGAGGCTGAGGGATGGGGACCCGGCTGTGGTGCCCCAGGGACCCCCTCCCCTTACTCACTTCCCTATGAGCTGTGCTGCCTTCCTCTCCACCTCCCCAATGGGACACACGGTCTTGTTTTCTTGCACGGGGAAATAAAAGCTGCAAGGGGAGAAATTAGAAGTAGTGCCCACTCCTTCCCCCGGGAAAGGCAGGAAGTTGTGTTTGCTGCTCGCTCCCATTGGCTGTGCAAACACAGCAGGAGCTGTGGGGTATCCAGCCCCTGCGCTCTGCCAGGGCTGGCAGCAGCACGCTGTGCCCTCACGCTGTGCCCTGCAGCCCCCCGGGACGCACATACCTGTCCTCCCGATATATCGAGTACCACACCATCACCAGAAACAGCGCCAGCACTCCCAGTATCTTCCCTCCTGCGAGCCAAAAGAAGTGCTTCAGCACAGGGAGGGGAAGCAGGGAATGGAGGTGCGGGAACCTCAAGGACAGACAGAGGGGAAAGGGGCGCAGGGGAAGGAGAGCGCTCATATCCACCCACTGCTCCACATCCTTCCCTCCCGAAAGGATTTCCGTCCTTTCCCCACGCAGCAGCGGATCTCCCCAGCGCCCCTGAGCGAAGCGCTCCGCGTGGCCGCTGGGTGTCAGCATCGGAGAGCGGCTGCGCTCCCGAACATCCTCACCCGCATCCCGGGGAGGAGCGGCGCTCCGAGGAAGCGGTGCCGCTCACGGAGGTTTCGGGGACATCGCAGGCGGCGGAAAAGACCGCCTCGACCTCAGTTCCAACCGCCATCCCCTCCCCGTGTCCCGCACCGCGTCCCTAACGGTGCCCAGGGTTACAGGACAGGGTGGAAGAGCACCGCGATGCCTGCGTGGTCTGTGCATAGAGAGGGGATGAAGGACCGATCCGACACCCCCAGCCCCATTCCAGCAGAGACGGGATGCTATGGGGTGCTGAACCCCCACTGGGTGGGTAGAGGAAGGAGAGAAGAGAAACCCCACTTCATGGGGAACAGCAAATGGGGGCACGATGCTCACCAACCCCCAGCTCTACCCCGGCCCCAATGCCGTAACCCCAGCAGAGCGACCACCAAGCAGCCCCCAGGGCCCCCACAGGAGAGGGGCTGGCAGTGCACGCGGTGAGGACTCACGGGACTTATTGATCATCTTTATCAGCAGGGCGGGCATCAGCCAAGGGCCGGGGTTCTCATCGCAGCCACTGCCGCTCACCTGGGGTGGGAGGGAGAGATGCATGGGTCAAGGAAACACCGAGGCCGGAAAAGACCCCTATGATCCCCAGCCCACCCCACCGTGCCCACGTCCCTCAGTGCCTCATCCCCAGTTCCTGAATGCCCCCAGCGTTGGTGACCCCCCTGCTGGCAGCTGTGCAGTTCAGCGCCACCCTTCCCGAGAGGAAATTGTTCCTAATACCCAATGTAAACTATGGGTGCAATCCCCAAATCCAGCACGGGAAAAGCTTCCCCCAGGAGATCCCAGAGGAGCAGCAGGACCCATCTGCACCTCCAAACCAGCGGTGACACCAAGCCCTGCAGGTTTGTTCCAATTTAAACCCAAGTTTCCCTGACCTGCATTCAACAAAATGTCCCATTTCTACAGCCGGTTCCCCCCCGAGATAATAAAAGCCATTAATGAGGGATCCCGAGGAGCTTCTGCCCTACAGATGGGAGCACACTGCAAACCACAGAGCGCTCCGACCACTGACCCTTGGTGCCAGCAGAACACGTGGAGCTGAAGCACAGCCCGGCTCACGGCAGCGATCACAGCGGTGGGCTGAGCGCCCCTTTGGCTTTGCAGACGCAGAAGCATCTCGCACGGAAAAGCCAGCAGGGGGGGAGGGCAGCACGGGTTGCCGCTCAGTTCCTGGTTACTCCTCCTTTTGCAATGCAAATGCCAGCGAGCGGTGGCACAGTGCATCCCCGTGGAGGTCTGCGGGGCTGGGGATCAACTCACCATGGGGAGATTTGGGGATCGCCCCCAGGAAAGCTCGCTGCCCTCGAGGATGGCTCCAGCTCTGTGCCACGTAGATGGGCACCTCCAGCCCGACTTTCTCACCCCAGAGCACAACCTGCCCTTGGCACATCTCCCAGCAGGGTGTGGAGCTGCTTGCGCTGTCGCATTCATCACCCAGGGCTGCACCGCAGCCACCGCCCGAGGGATGGCACGTCCCCAAGTCAGCCCAGAGCAGCCACAGCATGAGGGGGCAGCCGGCATTTGCTGCGGGCTTTGGGATCTCTCCAGGAAACAGATGATGGAGGGGAGAAGCAGGATGGACCACTGGATCCCGGCTCTCACCTCCCTGATCACCAGCAGGAGGTAAGAGACAAACTGAGACAGGATGCGGAGCACATAAGAACACCTGGACAGTGCTGATAAGGGATAGGAAAAGGTGCTGCTTGCTCCTTGCACAATCACCTGTCTGGGGCTGAGTCTTATCTCCTCCATAAAACGCAGGTAGCAAACAAAGGGTAACAACCCCTGAAAGCTGATGTGGGCACCGGAAAAGGAAACACATTTAGAGGAGGGATGGGAAAAACCCACGGATGCCCCATTGCTGTGCGCCCTGCAGAGCTGCTCCCTGGGAGCCCAGAGCCAACGCTGAGCAAAAATCCCTCCTGTTGGCTTCTGCCCCAGCACCAACTGTGCCAGCAGAGCCCTGCACAAGTGGTGCTCCCCTCCCCGAGGGCGAGATGCTCCAGCAGCACTAAGCATGCTCTCAGCCCGCTGTTTGCTTTTACATTCCAGCTCTCTTTTTAAATACTTCTCTTTTTTCCCCTCCTCTTTGTGATCCTTCTCTCCAGGCTTGTAGGCACAAGCCAGCCTTTATGCAAAACCAACCCAAGGCAGAGGCAGACAGAGTGGTCTGGGGAGCAAAGCAGAGCACACCTGGCCCCACACAGAGGCCACGAAGGAGGGGTTTGGGAATGAACCCAGCCTGGCAGTGCCTGACCTACAGCAGCATCCCAAAGCAGCACGGCGTGCACAGACCCAGCTCACATGGAAGCTGGATGCTCGCTGCTCCCACAGCATCCCCAGGTGAGATTTGGGGTTTCTCCTCAAAGAGACGAGAAAAAGCCCCTTTCCTTTGATGTCTGCACAGCATTACCTCCACAACACCCCAGGGCGGAGCGTTATCACCACGCTTAGAAGCTGTGCCGACGCACCGCCCTCGCCGCGGGCTGAAACTTTGGCACAAAGCTTCTCACCCCAGTGCTGCACAGCAAACACCCAGCACGGATCAAACGGAACGCAGCAAAGGGCCAAAGGTCTGCAAGGAGCAGAACGCAGTGCCACAGCCCCGCTGCACACAAGCCCCCACAGCTGCAAAGCAAAAGGTGCTCTGCTCCCCTGCACTCTACTCTGGGGACCCTGCCTCAGGGGTGCCCATCCTTTGGTGCCAGCAAGGGGGTCACAGAACACACGGTATCTTTGCGTGCTTCCATTGTAACTTGGAAATTTGGGAACAGAAGGCTGATGCAGCAAGAAGACACCTCCCATGCTACCCACTCCAGCACCACTGGGAGCACCGCCATAGCTCACCCCACACACGTGCAGGAATGTGGGGCACTGCAGCAGAGGTGGATTTGAAGGGGATCACAGTGAGAAATGGGCACTTCAGCAAGCCCCACAGGCTCAGCAGAAGAACCCAGTGGAGGTGGGCAGAGCACACGGGTGGCACAATCCTGGCACTCCCCAACCCAGCGCTGCGCAATGGGCCACCCGCAGCCCTCCCTAGGGGCACTGAGAGCAGTGGGGTGGGGATAAAGGGCTCCAGAGCCGATATGAAATCAAACAGCTCTGCGGGATTTACGGCTTCAATTACCAGAGGAATCCATCAGATGTCAGCTGGTTGCCTTGGCTGAGCACACAGCAGCACCCACACTGCCAAGGCCTCACCTCGCAGTGCTCCAGACAAGAGGCAGCAGTCCAAGAGCCGCCTCCAGCCCCACGTACCCCTCACTGCAGGCTGCTGGTGCAGGCTGGGTGGCATTGGCATTCCCACAGCAGCTCCTGCCTGGAGGAGATGCTCATTCCTCTGGGGATAAAGGATGCACACAGAACACGGTGTGGTTTGCCAAAAGGAGATGTGGGTTAGGCACGTATCCCAGCTCCAGGGTGGCTTCTGGCACACTCAGGTGGGAGCAGAGCCATCCCACCACCCAGGGGGTGGTACAGAGGTGATGGGGGGAGCACTGTGCTATGGGGGCAGCGGGGAAGAAACTGAAAAACGAATGCAGAACAGCTCTTCACCCTTCCCTGTCCCACCCATGGAGATTTTCCTGGGCTGGGATAGATAGGTATCTTTATGGGGTGGCTCAACATCATCATGAGCAGCTGCTGTAAAGAATTTTAAAGCAAACTTAATTGACCATGAAGAAGACATACAGCGTTTCCTTGACTCACGGTATCAGGGCCCTGAGAAGAGCTGACGAAAGGTCTTCTATAGGAAAAAGAAGCTCTAATTTTATAGGCAGGCAAAGCCTTAGCTCAATATTTACCTACGACTAAGGAACAGCGTGGGCTCTGCCACAGCTTACCCCTGGCCCATTTTGACACATCACAGGTCATAAAAACGAGATTTCCCTCTTGAAAGCGCTCCTAAAGGTGCCAAGACCTCTCCATAAGCAGCAGACAGCTCCCAGGAGGGGCTGCAGCACTCCAAAATCAGCCACCAAAGATCGCAGCCACCAACCCAGCACAGGGACAGGGCGCCCAGCAGGGCCAGCAGTGACACCCAGCCCGACCCCAGGGCACACAGCATCCATCCCCGGGAGCCACCGGCAGCCAGAGGTGGCAGAGCAGAGAAGTGCCACCTGTTCCTGGGGACCTGGAACCTGTGCCTGGGGTCAGGTAACCCCATTGGGACCCCACAGCAGCACGCGCAGACCCCACCGCATCACCCCACAGGTGCCCCCAAAGGTACTTACGGTCCTCCCACGTGGTGTGAGCAGAGAGGGCAGCAGCTCCGGGGGCTGCTGGGCTATGGGGCCATCCTCTCTTCCCCTGGCGAAGGAAAAAGGAGAGAGCCTCAGTGTCAGGCTGGAGGATCTCGGGGCCCAGCACCGCTCCCCGCGCGCTCAGCGGCTCTCTGCCCCCTTTCCTTTCCCCAAACTTCCACGTCCTCCCCACAGTTTGGAGAATTAAAAATCCAATTCCTCCCAAGAAAATGTCCACGCACAGCAGCACCCCTCCTGCCTGCTCTGCTCCAGAGAAACTGCCTTCCCCACAGCTGCACTGCATCAGCCTTAATTACCCAGATAACGAGAAGCCAGGTGGGGTAAGGGTAAGGAGCCAACCCCAGGGCAGCAGGGCTCCTTCGTTGGGGTCAGGTGTGCGCCAGCATCACATTCCCAAGTGCGGGCTGGATTTTGGGTGGCCCTGGAGTGGAATGGGGACTGGAAAGGGAACGGGAGCTGCATCAGCCCGTGTGGGTGCTGCTGGCCGAGGGGCAGGGAAGGTTTCCATCCCATCGGGGAAAAAGCCACGAGCACGGAGCTGGAAACCATCAGAACCGAAGCGCTGCATGGAATTGAGTTGGTTTTGGCAAAATGAAATTTTGGAGGGGAAAAAGGGGAAAAAGAAAAAAAAAAAAAAGAATTCCAGCAGTGATGAAACATCCCATCCACAGCACCGAACAAAAGGGCCTTTCTTCCCCACAGCCCATCCCACGTTCTCCCCACACTGACGCAGCCAAGCGCTGCTCCCGGCCAGGAGGTGGTGGGGGGACCTCAGCTCACAGCTGGGAAGCACCCGCAGCACAGAGACCTGCAGAGCACCTTCTGTGCCCCCACACCTGAGCTTCTGTGTGCATGGGACTGAGCCTGAGCACCGCACCCAGAGCCCATCCACTGCTGAGGAGCGCACGGTTCTCTGCACCCATCTCAGTGCACGTGGGGCCCCACGCCCCCCCCCGCTCCTTCCAGCCCCATCCACTGGAAAGCACGAATGCATTCAGCAGGCAGCGGAGATGACAGCCAGCTCTGCTACCTGCAGGAGCTCATTCCCATGAGCTCACCATCCCAGCACGTCTGCTCCAGGCATTGCATGATGCCCAAGGACGGGCTGCAGGGCAGGCAGCTGGTGCTGGAGCACAGCCTTTGTACCTCCAGCTGTGAGCTTCGTTAAGAAGAACGAAGAGCTGCTGGAAAGCACTTCATGCAGTGCAGCACTGGGGGGGGACGCTCCATGCCCCGCAGCCCCCCACCCTGAGAGGATGCTGCAGGGTCCCAACAGCCCATCAGCGCTCGCCAACCCCAGCAGCACGTTTCCCGTTTCCCAGTATGAGTTTTGCCCCTTCCTACTGGTGCATGCTGCATCCCACCCCAGGCTGGTGGCTCCAAGCAGCCCCAGAACCTGTCCAACAGAGGCAAAGCGCAGCTTTCATTGCACCATCTGCACTTTTATCACATCATCTGCTCTTCCCTACGCCTCCAAGTTTCACAACATCTACAAACCCACTGTGCAGGAACCTGCCTGCCCCCACAGCCCAAATTACCCCAAACCTCCCCAGCGCAGCACAGCCTTAAGGATCAAACCCAGCAATCTCCCCCGCACCCCTCAGCGATTCCACCACCAAACCCAAACCCTTCTGCCTTGGGCAGGCCGCCGTCCCCACGCTGCACTGTGGGCTGGGGTTCCCTACCCGTCCCGCTGATGGCTGCGTTTCCCTTTGCTCATTTTCCACCCATCTTTAATTCATTGACCGCTCATTCCTCCCCGGCTCGATCAGGGCAGGCTGCTCCTGGAAGGCACTCTCCCTCCTCATGGCGAATCGAGTCGCTTTCTTTAGTAGAAAAGAGATAAATAAATAAAAAATAATGATCACAGTCATAACCACAATAGAGCCAGCAGGGACACGCTGCAGCGCCAGCCCCCCGACACCCCTTGGTTTGGGCACAGCCCCCTCCCTCCTCACATCGGCCACCCCACCACGTCCATCTGTCCTCCCTCACCGTGCAATGAGCACAGAGGGATCCAGAGGAGTCCATCCCCGTGCAGATCCCCCCGGCACCACAGCATCGCATCACTCCGGTTGCTACCCCCCAAAAGGAGGGAGCACAGCCACGGGGTGGGGAGACACACAGATCTGCACTCAGTGCCCACTCAGCAGGAGAGCAGCGGGGCCAATTCCTGGCCACGGGATCCAAAAAGGCATCGCAGGAAGAGAAGAAGGAAATTGTTGCAGTAGGGTGCAGAGCTGCAACAGTGCAGCATCACCCGACTGCTGCACTGCCCCACATCAGCCCCACATCAGCCCCACATCAGCCCCACATCAGCCCCACATCAGCCCTGACCAAATGCTGCTGTCATCCAATGAACCTTTCTGCTTCTTCAGGGAGGGAGCACTCCTAATCCCACAAGCACGAAGGGCTGTGGCACCCAGCAAAAGGTGGACACCAAGGCAGGGTAAATAACAGCCGACCTCCCCGGGCCCAGGCACGGCACGCATGCAGGAACCGGGTGCTGCGGGTCCCCAGCATCGCACACCCTACAACCACTGCTGAGCACCCAACCCAAAGGAAACGGGCAGGGAGACCCAGGAAGGGGCACCACGCAAAGCAACAGCGAGCTGAACGCCAGCCAGGGGGATAAGCTCTTTACAATGGCCACAATTAAGGGTTGTTTGATTAGCAGCTTAACCACCTCTGCAGAACCCTTGGTTTGGAGAAGGCCAAGAGCGGCATTTTCCCTCAGCAAAACCCCAGATGCACTTCAGCAGCAGGATGGGGAAATGAAGAGCTCCTCAGAGCAGGTTTGGTCCCACAGCCCGGGGTGACCGGAGACGTTTTGCAGGAAGAGCAGCGGGAGCAGCATCTGGAAGTGATCGCAGCGAGCGCCTCTCCCAGCAGCGCGGCAGGGAATTCCAACGGCGTGAGCTCAGGTCCGGGGCTCCTCCAGGGAACCAACAAGGAGCAAACGGAACAGAGCAGCGGGAAGCAGAGCTGCCCGTCCCACCCGGGCGCAGCTCTGGGGCGCGCTCTACAGGAGCACGCACACACATCCAGCTCCCCTTCGCTTTCTCGGAGCAAACCTCCAATCCCACCCACAGCACATGCATGGGTTGGCAGCTGGAAACAGCAAGGATGAGCAGGATCCGGCCCTTTATGTTTGGCCTTTTTTTCCCCTCTCCCAGCAGATGTCGGTTTCCTAGAAAAAGCCCCAGGAACACAGCTTGCCCGGGGGCACCCGAGCGGAACGGGGAGTGAAGCAACCAGCACCATTTCCTCCTGTTGTCACACAGCCAGGGCTGCGTGGATCCGCTCCCACAACAACGTGCAGAGGCACAACCCAGCACCATGGGGATGGCCGGGAGCCACAGCACTGAGCGCAGGAGGGCACAACGGGAAACCCAGCCAAGGCACTGAAGGCATCGCAGAGACGTGCTTCCATCTGATGGATGGAGAAGCCACGAAGGCAAAACCCGAAGAAGGCACCGCCGTCATCCCGTCGCTGGGAGAGGGCTGAAATCTGCACTTCCATTCGATGCATGGATGCTGTGGGCATCATCCCATTCCTGCCCCTCACACCTGTGAGTATTGCTGGCACAGACAGACACCCCGAGCCTGGCAGCCTTCCTCCTTCCTGCTGCCATCCCTCATCACCTGTATCCCTGTGGGACCCAGAGCACTGCTATTAGCCCTTTGCCCAGAGCTGGAGGAGCAAGCAGCCTTTAATGATGCAGATAATTAAGCACAGGCGTTAAGAAGAGTCCGGCCGCTCCCATCCTACGGCTGGTAGCAACGTCAGGAGCTCACTGCAGCTCGGACGTGCCCTTAAAGCGTTGGAGCCGCCAACAGCAGAGCAGGGCTGGGACCTCCCCAGGTCCTGAGGCACTGAGCTGCAGCACAAATCCAGCACGGTTCTCCAAAAGCCGGGCGCTCAGCACCTCGTCTCACTGCCCGCAGACCTCGGCCACCGAACACTGCACCCACACAGGAACAAAACCACCCCCCAGGGGAAGAATCCCTTTGTTCTCCGTTAAGAACAATGAGACCCCTCCAAACACCGCTGCCCAGCGAGCAGAAAACCCGCCGACGTTCTCCTTTGGGCTGAGCATCCTCGCGTCCCAGCAGGAAGGGCTGCAGGTCCCGCGCAGCGGGGAGGCCCCCATCCCCACCGCTCCCCCAGGGCGCCGCGTTGGGCTCCGCACGCACAGGATGCCGAGCGATGGCAAAAGGCCCCGTCCCCAAACAACTCCCGCTGTGCTGCGCGGCCGCAACCGACAGCGAACGGGGCGGCAGCTCCGAGCTCCATCCGCACGGGTACACCGGGAGCGCTCCGGGGCTGCGCCCGGCGTTGGGACCCCGAAGCCGCGCCCTACGAAACCAGAACAGCGCAGCGCTGCCCGGCCGCGCGGTGCCGCCGTCCCTCCCAGCCGCGTGTCGATGTGCCCCGCGCTGGGGATCCTCGCGGCAGCGCCCGGCACACGCAGCACCCCCGATGTGCGCTTTGCTTTGCAGGGCTGCTTTGCGGGCACGGCGATGCTCAGCGCCGCGCACACAGATTGCGTTCCTTAGCGCCCGGCCGCGCTCCCATTCACAACACAGATACATAGAAAGCAAAAGCACCGCATCGACGCTCCGGCTCTGCCCTGCACCGCCCCGCACCGCGGCCTCCGGCACCGCATCCCAAACCCCCCCGGCTCCAAAAGCAACGGGGCAAAGCTCAGCATTCCGCAGCGCTCTGCCTTCACGCGACTGCGGACCCCCGCTCTCCCTCCCTCCCCCCCCCCCCAACGCACTCACCATGGGGCGGCCGGGGGTGCGGGCTCGGAGCGGGCAGGGCCGGGCAGCGGGGCTGAGCGGGGCGGAGGGGGGAACGGCGGCGGGGCGGGCACGCCTGCGCACAGAGCGATGGGGCGGAGGGAGCGAAGAGGCGGGGGCACGGCGTGGGGGGGCCGCCGGGGGCGGGGATGCGGCCCGGACCCACCGTGCGATGATGGGGGGGGGGTCCCGTAGCTCCTCAAGGGCGGCGGCGGGAGGCTCGGGCAGCGCGGGGGGTCGCGGGGGCTCCAGGGGGGGAGAGCAGCCCCTGCCGGTCCGCGCTGCCGGCCGGACTCGTGGCCGCACTCCGCCGCCGGGGATCCATCCGCGCCGAGACCCCACGCGCGCTCACGCGGGGCCGATGGAGGCAGAGCAGCTGTCCGTAATTGCGCCTTAATTACTGTCGGCTCGCAGCTGATCCGGGGGTAATTACGGAGGCCGCGGCTCAGCGGGGGAGCTGGGCTTGCTCGAAGGATATTTAGATCCATCAGTCTCTTGGGTTCTCCCGCTAGATTTATTGCATCTGAAAACAATAAACGGCGTTCAATAAAACTCCAGCAGTAATAACGCGTCCCAAATGCCTGTTTTTACCACGCTCCCAGGCGCAAGGAGCGGCGCGGCCGCATGGCTGCGCTCCTCAGGGCGGCTCTGCGCCCGCCGGTCCTCGGCTCTGCGCCGCCACGGTGCCACGAGGACGGCGCGATGCAGGCACGGTGGATGCCTACAGCTGGCCCAGCGGTGCGATGCAGCCGTTACGGTGCGATGCAACACTTACGGCTCCCAAAGAAGCCGGGTCAGTGCAGTGTCACAGGAGGTGAAGAGGTGCCCCCATCCCCTGCCGTCGGTGCGGGCAGCGGCCAAAGGACGCACCGGAGAGGGGATGGAGGGGACAAAAGGGACAAAGGCCATCAGCAGCACTGCACAGCGCCTCTCCCCTGCTAGAAAACCTTTTCGGAAAGGGATTTGCTGTGTTAGCAGAACACCACAAGTGTTTGCCGGGTCGTTAGCCATTGCTAATGACTGCACCCTGCCCTGATATTTAACATAGGAAGCACAGCAGGGATGAACAGCCAGTGAAGCTGGTCTGTGCGGAGCAATTGAAAGAAAAAAGGCAAAAATAAAACAAAATCCTGCTGGAAAGGTGAAATTGCAATGAGGTCTGCATCACCCAGCTCAGGGCTACCAGGTCAGGGGGAATCTAGCAGTGAAAGGGTTTAAGTGTAGGGGTGCGAGGTTGGGGGCAGCCACAGCAACACCCCCAGATCTGTTCCTCAGTTCCTAAGGCAGCTCTGATGCAAGCAGAGATGTGCTCTGCTCTGCACGGCCTGTGGGAAACGGGCAACAAGAAAACTCCCCTAACAGGTTACCCCTGCCCTCCTCAGCCACACGCTGCATTTTTGCAAAAAATAACCAAATCTGACAAGAGTTGGCTGCATTCAGATGCTCTGCCTCTCCCTGCTGCTAAAAGGTACCAGGGAACGGCCTGACCTGAATTTTTATTCATCAGATGAGAACAAAGCCCCGGGCATCTCTTGTGATGTGACTTGCATCCAGCAGGCTCGGGATCGCTCCATTACAGAGCAGCCCTGGAAACAAGGAACTGCAGTTATTTTATTTTTTGCCCCCAGAGCAAAGGAGTCAGCAAAAAGAAAAGTGAAAAGGAAAGCCGAAAGGAGCAGACAGCAGGATGGGCAGCAATATGATGCCTGCAATTACACCCCTGGTTACCGACTGACCAGAAACCAGAGCCCTCGCTGGCAGTGAGAACTCATGCAGTTTTCAGAGGTTTTGTCCCTCGGTGAGGAAGCAGAGTGTGGGCAGATTCAATTGATTCCATGATTCCATGACCTCGTTCCCATGCCACCATTTCCAGGGCTCTGGAGAACACCACAGCATGGAGAACTGGCTGAAGGTGGATGGGCACAGGTCCTCCTGTCGCAGCCCCTCAGAGGAGCCCAGGCTGCTGCTGTGTCTGCTTAAAAAACCAACACACCACCAGGGTTACCCAATCAAGGTTTTAATTGACTGAAGGAGCAGTTTCCATGGCAATGGGCTGACAGCCCCAATTTCGTACAAAACCCGAGTATAAAAAAAAACCAAAAAGCGACGAAACTCTGGAAACAAAAATCACCCAAACCCACGGGATAAAAAAGCAGCTCCACGTTTGGCTCTGCCAGCTCACGCTCTTCCTGCCTCCTGGAATTTCTTCAGCAGGGGTTCGTCAGCCCGCAGGGCGAAGGTCAGCGCCCGCTTCTGGTAGAACTGAGCATCCAGCAGCAGGTTGTCGATGACGTCCTCCAGCAGATGGGCTCTCTCAGCAGAGCTGCCCGGAGCATCGTAGCCCAGGGCGGTGAAATGCACGTGCAGGTGGTAGTAGGAGGGCTGGTAGTGCAGGTAGATGCGGAGCTGGGATCCGGGCACACCAAAGCGTTTTGCTATGGCTTCCTACAGACACACACGGGTCAGTGAGGGAGGGAAGAGCCGGGGGGTGGAAAAAGAGCCCCCAGGTGTGGGGAGAAAGGTGGAGCCAGCGGCCAAAGCCTGTGGCCATCAGGAATGTGCCTGCAGGACCTAAACCAGAGAAGGTTCAGGCATCGAAAACGTGGAGGGAAGCTGCTGAATGAACAGCTGGCAAGGGGAGAGCTCTGCTCACACCGCTGCCCACAGCCAGGGGAGCGCTGAGCCCATAGGAAGGGAGAGGCGAAGCGAGATGAGCGCTGCTTCCTCCCTCCTTACAGAAAGGGACGGGGAAACGGAGACAGGCAGAAGCCCTTCCTGCCAGCCCCGCTTCTCCGTAACAGGACGTGCTCCCTGCTCCCATTGTTTTCCATTCCTCCCTTATCTCTCTAGCTCACTCAGCAAGTTACAGGATCCCGTTACCAGCCAGTGTAATTAAAGCTATAAACAGCAACGGCAAACTCCAACACAAGGGCTCGGTTTGCTGCTCAGCACACTGCAATCCCCTGACTAATCTCTTAATTAATCTCTGCTTTCCCTAGTGCAATTACTTTCCAAATTTCTAATGCAGCGAAGGGAACTATCACACATTGATCTACACAGCCCATTACCAAGCGTGCCTGGAACAGCCACCAGCCAGAGAAAATGGTCTGGAGGTTACAAAGGCAGCTGCTAGCACACACAGGAGGATGAGCTCGACTCTGAGCTCACTGCAGACAAAGCTGTACCAGACACTTCTGAAAGGGGAGAGAGGTGAGGAGTTTGCTGGCCGCAGTAAAAAGTCCCAGTTCCAAGGCAGGCAGCGCTCAGATTTCATTCCCAGCCTGGCTGCCAAGAGGAAGAGGGTGTTTTCTTCTTAAAGAAGAGCAAGGCTTTGCTCCAGAGGGATGGGTGGACTCCCAGACACATCCACACCTCTCCAGCCCATTCCAAAAAGATGCTCCCTTCTCCTAGAACGCACTGCAGTGACACGAGATGGAACAGCGTGAGGCCAAAGGCAGCAGCAGAAATATGTCTGTTCTCAAGCCGTGGAGGAGAGCTTCAGCCCCAGCATGAGTGCTCAGCACCACCACGGTGATGTGCAAATGGATGCCTGGTGGCTGCAGGAGGAAAGAAAGGCCACCAAGGCCTCCAGCATTGATGCAGTGTGGCCAGGCTGCGTAGGGCAGCACTGGGAGGGGTTTCCCAGCTGACAGACCCTTGTAAGGCAAGCACAGAGCACATTGCCTGCTGGGCAGGCTCTGCTGCAGTCTCAGGAAGGGAAATGGGCAGGGGAGGCATTCACACCTCCCCCCACCATCTCCCATGAGAGGGTCTAAACTGAGGAGGAGAGGAAATCAGCAAATGCTTCCCATGGCCCTATGGAGACTTGCTGCTTTGCTGGGCACCAAGCCCTGCTCAGCGCCTGGAGCAGTTCAGGACACTTGCGACGTATCTGGCCTCAAGAGCATACGAGTTGAAGCACAAAGAGGATTTAAAGTGCCCTCTTTTCATCACCCTGCTCCATTTCCCCCTCTCAGCTCTTCCCAGGGCCTGGTGCTGCACTGTGATGCATCCCCACATCGCACAGTCACACAACACAGCACAGCAGCGCTGCAAGAACAAGGCAACATCCTCCACAGGCAGCTCATACCACAGGGTGCAATGCAAGGAGGAAAGTCACCTCCACCTATTAAGCAATGCCCCTGGTTGCAATAGGGCTTGTATTGCAGGGGAACGATGGGGAGGAGCTCAGGAGGGAGAAGTGATCATCGCTCAGCTTTGGTGTCCACACAGAGAGCGGCTCTTTGCCAAACCAGGCAGCCACAGCAGGGGCCAGGAGCCGAGGCAGGGAGTTGCAGCAGCTCGCTGTGCCTTCCTGCACTCACCTTGCCCTCCTGCAAGACGTTCCTCAGCAAAGGGAGGTGCTCTGCTGTGAGGTCCCGGAGAGACTTCACACCGCGGCGGTGAATGAGGGCTATCAGGTAGAGGTCCTCGAGCTGTGGAGAGGCAGAAACAGAGGAGGAGAACGATGCCTACAGCAGAAAGCAGGTGGAGGCTCAAGCACGGTGCAGAGCTTCCTGGGCTGTGCTGTAATGTGCACACACACTTATCTGCTGACTTCTTTCACCAACCTCCAGGCTAGGTGGATCCTAGCTCCGAACCCCAGCAACGTCTCCTCAAACACTTCAGAAGCACCTGTCCAAGTGCACAGCACACTAAACCTTCCTCACAGGGCAGCAGAGGTGCAGCACTTGCCTAGGCAGCAGGGAACTGAACTGCAGTGCTGAGCTCAGCCTTTCTGCAGAGCAAGAGGGTGGCTTATCTCCGTGCTCAGCAGAGGATTTGCAGTGAATTCCAGCAGCCAAAGCTGCGACTGTAGATTTTTCCGAATGAAAAGCTTCCCCTATTGCCTCTGTACAAACAGTGGTCCGTTTTCCAGTGACTCCAGTTTTATAAATAACTATTTTCAAGTGTTCATCTGTCACCTGACAGCCCCACAGTGACATACGGCCGCCCCGCAGCGCTCAGACCAACCTTTGCCATCTCCGGAAGCAATTTACTGAATTAAATGTTCAGTGAAACAAAAGGTCGTGGATCATTATATATAAAAAAAAAATAAATCAGTCAAATGGTTTTGTGGCATTGCTGCCCAGGAGATAATAAACACAGAGATGAAGTCTCCTGTACAGGGATCAGACTGAACACGGAGGCAGCCAGGACAAGACAGGCTCCCACACCACGATTAACACTGATGTTCTTCAGCAATATCTGCAGCTGAGAGCCTCTCACACCCAAGCCTACCTGTGCTCCCTGCACTGTGTGCTGGCAAGCAGCTGCTCGAGGCTATTTCCTCAACTGCCTGCGTTTCCAAAACCAAATGTCCTGCAAAGTCCAGCCCCTTTCCGCAGCACTTCATCCCTGTCTCCTTCAGTTTAGTTAGTGGCTTTCCAACAATATAAACACTGTGTAGCAAAGGGTTTGGATATCCACAACCCAGCAGATCTCTTCAGAGTTATAAGCAATCCATCTGGCTATTTGAAAACAGATGTTTGTGCCAAAAGATGCTTGAACAACTCTGCCCTGGGACTCGAAATACAAAGCTTCATTTGCATCCAGCCAGCAAAGCCGTTCTCGTGCTGTGACCCGGCTCTCACAGCAGCACAGCTCCAGAGGAAGATGGCCTCTCAGTTTGTCCTCTTCAAACCAGAGCTGGCTCACAGGGGAAAAGCAAACATCCCCTCTCCTTAGAACATCTGTATGTTGCTGTTTGAAACAAATACGCCTGTTGCTAAAAAGGCCCTCAATGATGTCATGCACGGCACCATTTCAGGCAACGCCTCGGGGCTCCTGTGGGCTTGAGAAAAGCTGGAGGGATCCAGAAGGGGCTGTCAGCACCACGTCTAACCAGGACTCGCTTGCTCTGCACAGCCGAGCTGCCACGCTGCTGCTGCAGCACATTCAGGTACCCACTTCCCAGCACGAAGCACGGTCGCTCCTGGCCCAGCAGCAGGCAGAGGCAGCGAGCAGCAGCACACAGGCAGGGAATCCTCCTCCATCCATCAGCCCGAAGCAACGACAGGTGAATCCACATTTAGCAAACTGCTACGCTAGCACAGCGCGATGCTGTTGGACAGAACCCCGAACCTGAGCTGCAGGGAGGTTTGCACAGCGCTGCTGGGAGCCCTGCCTCACCACCCTCATTTAATTCAGCAGCCCACGGATGCTTGGATGAGCCGAAATGGGAACGGCCGGCGGCTCTGAAGTGCAGCTGCAGGGATGAGATCTGATCTGACAGATCCCATGTTTCATCTAATACTTTAGGTCTTGAGACACGCTGGATTCAAACCTGTTCAGTTTCTCACTGAATACCACTCATTTATGGCAATGTCTCACTTAAAAGACACTACTGAGCGCACATCCAGCTGCCCAAGAGCAGGAAAACCAGCTCTAACCTTCCTGATGACAGCCTCAGCGAGGAGCCACGCACACACCCTGCTCAACACAACACCCTTGCTGGGAAGAGACAGGCAGCACAAGGGGTATGGATCCTGGCAGCCAGAAGCGCAGAGAAATCAAGTCCAAGCCCTTCTCTCAGGGTAAGGAATCGTGCAAATAAGGCAGGAGTCCAGATCTCTGCTTTTTAAAACTCAGAGGGCACCCAGCTGTCAACAGCTATCAGTGGGGATGAAGCACCTGCATGGAGCACGCCAAAGCCCCCAGCTCAGCACTCCCACAGTGCCTGCAGGGACTGAGAGCAGCCCCTGCCCTGGGGACGTGGCTGTGCTGCTGCAGAGGCAGTGAGAGCACCCAGAGAGTGCAGCCATGGGGAAAAAATCAAGAAGATCCTGTTTGGATCACAAGCAAACCACAGCAGCATGGGAAACCTCCCCTACAGACACATCCTGCCATGCAGGTGCTCCCTAACTGCACTGCGCACAGCAGGTCTGTAGAGAAATCTGGCTACAGCTTCAAGCTCATCTGTCTTCAACACTGCAGTGAGCTGCACAGCTTGGTTCTGGAGAGAAAGAATTTACACCGAGGCTCTGCTCAGAGAAAAGAGCACATTGCTGAGAATTAACTTCCCAGGATCATTGCATTGCTGCCACCTTCTTGCAGGGTGCTGGGCAACAGAAATCAAAGCTCAGTTACCCCACGGCAACAAGGCATGGGATTTTTAGAACAGCTGATGTGCTGGGAATTCCAGGTTTACATGGACTGCCCTGCAGTAACTTACCTGTCCTCACCTCCCATAGCCCCAGGCAATTCAGCACCAGATGGAAGTCGGCTCTCCTGCCTCCCTCCTGCCCCCAGCCCACGCTCAGCACAGAGATACAGAATCGTGCTGTGCTAAGAGCTTAGAAGGGTTATTTTTAGTTCCCATTTCCACGTTTTCATCAAACTTTCCCTCGGCGCCACCCACAGAGAGGTTCTGAGGATCAGAAACACGAAGGGGACTTTTTGACTCCACGAGGCTTGGAGCCCTGCTTCTTTGAGCCTGGGGCATTTCATCTCTGCAGGCACGCCGCGGGCCTTGATGTCTCCAGGCCATAGAAGTGCCACATGAATCGAGCCAGAGTCAAAAGAAATAATGAGCCACTCAATTTAGGATTACAGCCCGGGCTGAGACCTCTGGATCTCAACAAGTGGCCACTCCAGCGAGGGGTTAAGCAGCTGCTCATAAGCTAACAGCCATCTGTTTAATATTGTGTGAGGAGAGTTAATTGGAAGGATGACACATCTGCCTGATTTATGCCTAATATTTAGGCTGACAGAAACCCAAACAAAGGAATCCATCAGGAACAACAGGCAGCTGGATTTCGGTTCCAACACATCAAGAAGCACTCAGGCTAACACAGGAAAGAGAAAGTGAAGCTAATAAATAAATCACTGAGCAGCAGTGAGGACAGCCTGCGTTTTGCAGTGTCCACCATTAGCACATCCTAAAAGGCCCTGAGTCACTGGTAGCATCATTGCTTAATTAGTGTGAACAGGAAGGATGCATTCCCCTACTAGAGGTTTCATTAATGTGCTATTAGTGACACCAAACTGGACATTTCCTCTGTAATGCCTCTCAACAAGCAGCATCCCTTCAAAACCAAGAGTAGCAAACAAACCTGGTTTTGATTCCACTTAAAATCTGGAACTAGAACAAAGCCATTGCAAGGGTCTGGGTTTTCATGGATGATTCGATCAGCCTCAGCTTTCTTCTCCAGGATATTATACACCCACTGAAAGAGAAACATGTGATTTAGAAACCAGCAGAGCAAAAAGCTCAGGCACATTTAGCCCAGGCTCATGGATTAGTCTGTATGCATTGCAAGCAGAACGTGGAAAAAAAAAAAAAGACGACCAAATAATTTCATGGCCAACAACATTTGCAGTTAATTACCCATAGCACACTCCAACAAACCCCAGGCTATTACAGGCACTTGAGTTAAAAGATACCCTCTGACCCCACTGCATGGCACGGCCCCACTGCCTCGCTGAATTATTCAGGGATTTTTGTCCTCTCAAGCATTAAGGATCGGCCACAGCTGGAGATGAGGCATTGGACAGAGATGGTTTAGAAACTGCTGTATTTGCTTGTAAGAGGATTTGGAGATAATTCTGCCCAACGGGGTCTTGCAATTCTCCATCACGTCCACAGAGCTCACGATGCTCCCAGCCAGCAGCCAGAGCCCCGGGGCCGGCAGAGGCTGAGCTCAGCTCCCGCGGGGCCCGGCGGTGCCTCCATACACCTTTCACGCCCCACGCTGTCCTGAAACCTTTACAAGGAGCTGTGGAGAGGAAACCCGGCTGGTTTTTCCATTCGGAAGGGAAGCAGCAGATTGCTGCAAGGCTGAGGCTGGATGGAGCTCCTGCTGCTGGCAGCCAGCACTCTGCGGGCCAGGACGAGAGGCCTGTGTTTTCTTGGGCAAGTCACGTTTCCTGACTGGTTAGAAAAGAGCTCACCGCTCTTCTTCCTCTATATTTAAAGCTTCGGCCTCCAACAGCCAGCAATCCTTGCTCTGGTTATCCCCTGCATTCCTGGCTGGGCTGCTGGGAGGGAGAACAGGAGGACGTGGGAGCTCAGACTCTGCAGAGGAAGAGCTCCTGAGAGCAAAGCACTGCGCAGAGACAAGTCTCCACTCTCCAACAGGGATAACTGACGAGACGAGACAGAGAAAGCACCTTCACGCCTGGAAGACTGCCTGTCCTGGTTACAAGCTGCCCACCTGCCCTCTTGCCAAACACAAAGGTCCTCTTTCACAGAGGGAGCTGCAAGTTGGCTTCTAAATGCTAGCAGTTCTTGGAGTTTCAGACTTCCAGCATTAATCAGGTCTCTAGAGAAAAAAAGCAAGGCAGCAGAAATTGGCTGGGCTTCGAAAGCTGCAATCATTTTGAAACGCCAGTGGCCCTTCCACTGCAGAAAGCCTTCCCTGAAACAACCAGGCTGTAGAAGTGCCACAGTTGTTTCAGCTTTACGGATAGGGCAAACAACTGAACTGCACACAACGCTGATCAGCACCACGCTCACCTTCCCATGGAGCTTAGGCACAACACACTGCTGCTGTCCCAGGGCGTGTGGAAGCACCAAGCCACTGCTGGCCCTGCAGACACACTCAGCAAGCTGGCTCAGTGGCTGCTGTGTGCAACAGATGCTCGAGATGAAAGACAGCCCTGCTGGGAACTCTGTCAGGAGTTTAATTAATCTAATCAAAACTCAGGATCGCAGTGAACTGACCTGAATATATCTCCTTAGGGACAAACAAACCTCCCCAGCCTCGATCCTTTTCTTTCTTAAGTTCCCACTCTTTCCTCCCTAGCGATAACATCCCAGAGAGATTCTCAGAGATTATGGAACCCATGGCACAAGACTGCTGTGCTCCGTGACCCTGTGAGAAAGGCAGGGCAGGAAGCTCAGAAGGAAATGAAAGTTTGCCACTCACTTTTTCACGCCGCCTCTTTTGAGCAGTGCCAACCTGCAGGTACCCCAATAAGCTCACATACAGGATGAGCAGAGCCATAAACCGCCGCTGCCCCATGATGACCAGCAGTCATCAGCTGGCTGCTCCTGCTCTTTCCAGCACAAGCCTGGGGAAGACAACACGTCCACAAGCTGGCACTACAATAAAACTACTATGCTGAAAGCAGCCAGAATTTGCATCCTCCAGGCAGAAAACAGAGCCTCCTCTGTAGTCCTCCAATACTTCTGCCTTTCACATTTCCTCTTCCTTTTGACAAAACCAATTAGATAAAGACAAGAAACTGCATTATCAAACCCCAGAGGACCGATGCTCAGACCAAGATTGCCAAGCACAGATAAGGCAGCTGCTCCCAAGGTTGGCAGGAACATGCTTCCATCTACCTACTTCATGCAGAAATCAGCTCACAAGCATTCGGTGGAACAGGTAGAGAGACCTCGTACTGCTGAGGGCAGCTGCTGTGTCACAGAACTTAGCCTGCAGAGCAAAGACATGGAGAAAACATTTGTGCAGGCTGCTATCAGGTGCAAATACACTCTTTTGTTTCTCCAGCTAATAAATGCTTCCAATAAATTAGGGGTGTTGCAGTCCAACTGCTGGCAAGAAAACTGAATGATGGAGGGAACAAATGTGGGTGAGCAAGGAGTAACGGAGCGCACTGCAGCTTGCAGGGTCCCTCCTGGAACTCCATGCACAAAGCAAGATTCACATCAGCTGCAAGTGATCAGAGCACAACAGCAAACCCATAGCCAGTCTGCTGCAGTTTAAATCAGTAAGAGAAAGATGTGAGGAGGGGACACATGAGGTCTGTGGTTGTCTGTCTTTCATTTGAGACAAAGGAGCTTATTTTTAATGAATAGCCTCGACAGACCCTCACCTGCAGTCAGCTGGAAAGGGCGCACACTTCGCTCATCAGCAAGGTGCAGAAGCAGCATCACCAGGGAGAGGATGCAGGAGCTATTGCCTGGCTCTAAGAGCCACTTGGTTTGCTTGATGGTTTCCTTTTCACAGCAGTGGCTGCACAGATTAGATACATAAGCAATGAGTTGCTTTTAATGCACCAAAAGAGCAGTAATCAATTACTCGAGTAAGCTTGACATTGCTAGGATTCGTTTTATTCCCTCATCTGCACAGGTTGGCATGAATTGCCCCTACAGACTTTTGTTCCTTCAGCCTATAAAGATGTGGAAGAGAGGAGCAGTCAAAAAAGGGAAAACAAGAAACGAGTGCATTGCCGCTGCTGGTGGTGAAAGGCAGCCCAAAAATTCAGCTCCTACACGAGGGATATGAACTGGAAGACTGGAAGGCAGAGTAGTTGTATGCAAAGCACTAGGAGCGAGTTGTGATGCAAGGAATCCAAGCACAGTGTAGGTCTTCCCATTTCAAAGCACCCAAGAGACTCCCACAAGGCCCAGCAAAGTGCACCAATTCCACCCTCAGAGAGAAGAAATGTCCCGACACAGCAGGTCTCCAGGAGCCTTGAGAAGGGCACACTGGATAAATCTCCAAAGGAAAAGCTTTTCTATAATGATGTAGCAGTGCTACCGAAGAACAGAAGGAGAGCTCTACTGGGAGAGCTTGGGGAAAGAGCCCTGCTTAGCACTGCTGTGCTTACCAAAAAGGTCAGACAGCCTCGAGAAAGTGCAGCAGTTAAGTGGGTGTTCTCAGGGAAACAGTCAGCATCACAGATCCCAAACTTCACAGCTCTGCTGCCGGTCACGTCTGAGAAACAGGCGTGTTAGAAGAGAGGGTGAAACACCACAGAGCTGACAACACACGGATGGAGCAGCCAGCAGGGAGACGGGGCAGAGCTCTGCTGATTCATCTGCCTGCAGTCCAGGCTTCGAGGAGACATCTGACAGCCCAGCATGTTAAAGAGGGAGGCCAAAGACAGGCAGAGCTCTGCTTCCATCCCCAGAGCTCCTGCAAACATCAAGCTCTGCAGAGACTGATGACTTCAAGGCACTGTCAGCTCTCGTTTGGCCAAAGGAATGGGACACCAGCATGCCAGGAAGGCAACACACGAGGCCCAGAACAGCTCCTGGAGGTGCAGCCTCTGGCAGCTGTGCAGTACCAAAACCAAAACGGAGACTACTGCAAAACAAGAATCCAGTTGAGAACCCTGCTCTGAATTCTCATCGTGCAAATCCACTCCGGTACCACTGCAAACAGAACTCGCCGTGTTTGTCGCAGCGAGGGTCACCACAGCAGTGCCTGAAGCAGCTCTTCCTGCAGGCTCTCCAGCCCTGCAGAGGGACGTGCAGCCCCAGACCCTTGAGAAGCAGCAGTGCCCATACCTGGATGCTGAAGCTCTGGGACTGGATGAAGGGCAGCGTTATGTTCTTGTAGTCCTCCCAGGTTTCACGGACCAGGTGCACTTCCTGACGGAGGTACTTCTGAAGGTGTTTCTCTGTGGCAGGGTACACCACTGTGGCTTTTATCTCTAGAAAAAAAAAAAAAAAAAAAAAAAACCAACATATTTACTGAATTATAATCACAGATGAAACCCGAGTTACTTCCTTTAGTTCCTCATAAACCTGTTTTTGCCCTCTAATAAATGCCACGCTAACACATTTCAAAAATATACCATTAAAATAGCAGGGGAGAGCTGACACAGATGGCAAACAAGCACTTGAACCGGCAGGGCTCCTTCTGTCATCACGGAAAGGAGCTCAGTGCATCTGCACAGAGGAACACAATAAGCTGACAGCACAGCCAGGGCCAGTATTTCCAGTTCAGGTGGAAGGGAACGCTGGGTGAAACTTTTCCCACACTCACTTCTCAGATATATCAGCAACATCAGTGCACATCTGGGGCTCCCAGGGAAAAGTTTATGTGCAGTCAAGTAGGACAGAAGCAGCACATGGCAGCACCACCCGGGGCTGAGAAGCACGTTCCTCATTCTTTCCACCTGAGGGTAATCAGATGCTATCAAGAAACTCTCTCCATCCACCAAAGCAGACATCCCATGGGCTGCACGCAGCAGGCCTGCACAAGGAGCCACTGTCCCTGCAGAAAGCCACAATCCCAGACGTTTTGTTCCTCCACTTGCATGCAGCTTCAGTGCAGCTGCCCAAACCCCAGCAGCAAGGAAGGCAGCCCCAGCCACTCCCTGACTGCAAACAGCCCATCTGAAGCAGAGCTCAGCTCCCCTTCCAGCTCCAAGATGACGCAGCCTACTTTTGAGCAGTTGAGGAGCCAAAACTCCACTTGACACGGCTTCTGAGCACGCCCAAGTTGTGTCTGAGGGCACACCCTGCTACCTGCTCCCAGAGAACAGGATTAGGACAGGAGCAGAGCAAAAAGCTTTTAAACGAGGACAGGCACCTCACCAACCCCTCGTGAGCTCAAGCAGCTAAGCGGCTGCAAAGGCATCGGGACAGCTGGTGTCCACAGAAGCGACAGCAGATGGGTACAGGAAGAAAAGCAGAAGAAATGGGCACTCCTGCCATGATGAGCAATGCCATTCTGACCCCATCCTGCTCCGTCACACCCCACTGGGGCTGTGAGCCCAAAAGCTCCCTGCGTTTACAATGCAGCTCCTCTGAAAGCCTCTTTCAGCACAGCGCCTGAGGCAGCTCTGTGCAGCCCCTGATATCCAGGCCATCCTTCTGCCCTGCGGGAAAGGCTCTCTGCTGGCCCACACCCTGCACCAGGCACAGCACACAGGAACAAAACCTCCTTGTGCACATGGCCTTTAACTCACAGATTCTCTTCCCAGAAGAGGAGACACGGGGCACGTGGACGATCCACGGCAGGCAGCGCTGCTCCCAAAGCTCCCAGCCATGAGGATGCTCAGCCCTGAGGACAGGAGGCCAAGGACAGAGGGACACATCTGGAAGGCGCCGCGGCTGCTGGGATGAGCGCAGGGCTGATTCAGTGCTCCCCTTCATCAGCTGGCAAGCAGAGAGCATTCAGCTGGTTACTTTCACTGAAGGAAAACAACCCCTGTTTACTTTGAGATTAGAATTTGGAGGTGTATTTTCCACTACATTGAACAGGATTCCAGCATGCACCTCACTGACCTGGCAGCCCTGGCCTTGGCAGCAGTAAATCTCCCTCACAGCAGTGAAGCACTTGGGAAATATCCCTCCTTGCCCGAGGGTGGATGTGCGACAGCTGCAGGAGCCAACGGCCCGCTGGTGGAACACTGAACAACTGAAGGCAGAACACCCCGTCCTGACCCCAAACGAAGCCATCAGACCCACGCACGGGGCAGAAATCCTGCAGCTTTCCCAGCTTGTGCCCAAGCTCTGCAACGGCTTTTGCTGCTGCCACAAAAAGCAGCAGCACCGAGCAGCTGTGCCTCACACTTCACAGATGAATATATGCTAGCCAGACGTGGAATATAAATATCTATTTGTTCCTAAAGCCAGGACTCAGGGTGGGTGTCTTTTTTTTGTTTTTTGGTTTCTGTTCTTTTTAAGGTCAGCGCTGCACAAGCTGGGAGACTCTGTCTTTTCATTCCATGCCAAACCCAGCTTAATGAAATCCACAGGAAAATGCTGGTAACATGAAATATGAAAATGCAAACCACAAGGGCAGTCTGGTCCGATTCCCACTGTACACATGTTCAAACAAGGTTGTTTTCCAGGGCTCGATTAGCACTTTGAGCAGGGTGATGTAATACCCAAAGACGAGGCTGCAGCTCCTCCACTCCTTGCTTTAAAAAGACCAAAAAAAAGCAGTGGAGAAAAGCAGGAGATAAAAGGCTGAGCCCTCGCACTCAGGGTGCAACGGCGAGCAGCCCCACTGCAGACACAGCACGACTGCACACACTGCTGAACCTTTCCATTTGCTGGCAACCAGCCGCACTCATGTCTCATTCTGAAAGCTGCCCTGTGCCCAGCAGGCTCCACGTGTGCTGAAGCACCACGGCTGGAGCACGACGGGAGCAATCCGTGCTGGCCTGGAAACGGGGCGAAGCATGGCTGTGCACATCGGGTGGTTTTCAGGTTGGTAAATGGCTGGCACTTATCGCTGCCTGCATCTGGGTCGTGTTGGCCAGCCTGTTCCGGGATGGCAGCCCGAAAGGGCTGTGGTTTAACTCCAGGAGTCAGCACTCTTAGCTGGAGGCAGCTAAAAGAATACCAAAAACTGAGGTCTAAATGGAAGGATCCCAGATAGACGTGTGCCAGAGGTACCTGGATTCCTGGGCATCACCCTACAAGGGGAGCAGGTGTGTCTGAGGGAAAACTATGACTTCAGTTCCACGTCCACAGGGAAACGAAGCTCAGACTGCCTAGAACCAAACAGTTCCTCTCCTCCTCTGCTGAGAGTGCAAAAAAACCCACTCACTTCTTCACCCCCCTCAAGAATTCGGAGGCAGCACCACAAGGGCCATCGCCATGTGTTTGTTACCTGTTTTAAATCAATGTAAGCTGCTGAGGAGCTGAGAGAAGCAGGCAGGCAGGAACAGCCCCGGGGCAGGGACACTTTTCCTCCCTTTGCCAATAGGAAGCCCAGGTGCTTTGGTTTACAACTGAGCACACAAAGCCGAAGGGAGAATTGATTGCACTCTTCCATTCCAAGTTCTTCCTCTGCAAGATCTTGCATGTTGCATACACCTTCCTGCACCATCCTCAGCTTCCCCTTTCAATGCCAAGTTATCCAAGCACAGTGTCACACAACCTCCCCTTCCCATTTATCCTTGTTCATGATGACAACTGACAGCATCCCCAAATGAACCCCACGTACCCCACCCCCAGCAGTACTGTGCTCCATCACAGGCTTCTGGGGCTTTCACTGCAGAACGAGACAAAAGCACACAAAAAGGAGAACGCTTTCAAGAGCTCTCACACTCTCCAAGGCCAGCACATGCCAGGGCAAGCCAAGTGTGCTGCTGGGGACTCTGCCAAGCTGTCTGGCCGCTGCTTCTCATCCTGAGATGGAGAGGACGTGGTGGGCGCTGGCTGCAGTGTGGGAAAGAGAATCTCTGAGTCACCAGCTCTTGAGAGCTGGAGCGCAGCACAGGAACGGCGCCCACTGCCCAGCAGAGCAGCCCTCCCCTCGCTGCCTGCACCTACCCCCACCTGGCTCCAGCCCAACGGCTCCCGCTGCTCAGGCTCCAGCCTTCTGTTCAATCACAGAGTCTCATTATGATATTTAAGCAGCCTGCTCGCTGTGCCAGGAGCGCGGCAGCACAGCCATGGGAAGCACTGCAGACTCGGCTGCAGACGTCCATGCAGCTCATGCACGTCTCTCCAGCTCCTGCTGCCTGAAACCAGATCCTTGCTGGGCTCAGGAATGCAGGAATATGTATCACTTCCTGCATGACTGAATAGTTTCCCCGCTGCCTTCCATACTCTTCCATTTCTCCCACAGTTTCTCCACCCTGCGTCGGAGTGTCTGTCAGTAATGCTCATTTTTAGACTCTGAGCTGGTGAGCTTCAGGCTGCAGCATGAGGACGTGCTTGCAAACGGAGCTGCGACACGTAGCTGCCAATCGTGCACAGCAGACAAAGCTTCCTTCCAGTGCAGACTGATGAGAGCCCTTGAATTACTTGAGCACGGCCGAGGTGCCATGAAACACAACATCTCTCAGCAGCCAGGCTGCACCGTGCTGGAAAACACAAGCTGCCTGCTAAACAGATGTCAGCTGAGCAAATGCATCACCAGGACCTGGATGCGGGGAGGGAACACATTGCTTAAACCATCGAGCTTTTGCAATCAGTCCTCTGGCACCCGGAAAATCTTTTCCCTGCTGTGAAAGCAGCTCCAGCTCCCTGGGCTGTGATTTCCCCTGCCAGCACATCAGACCTTCAGAGGTAAGCTGCCAGTTAAACCCAAGCAGGAGCAAGGGGCAGGGAAGGCAGCGCACTGGCATTTAGGAACGGCAGGAACTTAGCGTGAGACGGCTCTCCCTGCATTCCCCTACCAGCCCATGCTGTGCTGTTTTGCAGACGTGGGGCAGTGTTTGCACCTGTGCTTCACAGAGCTGTGCCCAACACAACCCAGCACTCAGTGGCTGGCCCACAGCGGAGCTGCAAAGGCTCTTCTTTTGCAATATTAGATCAGTTATGGTCAGAGGACATACCAACCAACTCACTAGCAAGTCATCCCCTTATTCAGGTGGGTCTGAATGGCAAATTATCTTCTCCTCCATCAGGTGGGCTTGGATTACCCTTCAGATGCACACCCTCTAGGCGGGTTTTCAAATGCATTTCCCATTTCATCCATTGCACATCTGTTCCAGCGGCCACAACAAGCAGCACAAGCCGAGGTCCTCCAGCCAGGACCCACTCTGCCACAATCCCTGCCCCACAAAGCCTGTCCTCAAGCTGCAGAGTGCAGTTCTGACTCACAGGGTGGAGGGATGTCCCTGCTGCAGGCACCTCACCTCTCAGCCTGCCTCTCCTGTGCCCTGCCACAAAACAAAGCGGCTCGCCCAGCCCCGCAGGCTCTTTTACCACCAGGACAAAACAAGCTTTCACTGCACACAGTTTGCATTAGCTTTGTTCCCTGGGTGAAACAGCATCTGAGTAGCTTAAACGAGGAGGTGGGAAAAGAGGAAAGAAAATATCCGCTTTCAGCTCTCACGAAAGCCCAGCCGTCTGCAGGGCCTCCGGGGCCACGGACCACAAAGGCGACATTGAGAAAGGCGCCGCACAAAGCGCAGACCTGCGGGCTGCTAATGAGAGCCAGCTCCTCCCAGAGCTGCCGTTAGCAGGCCCAGCTTCAGCCACGGCGCAGAGGTCTGCAGGTCACCTGCAGCTGTGAGCACCTCGCTCCAGGCAGTTTGCTGGAGGGGGTTTAGCTTTACCCTCGGGAAGGGAGAAATTGAGAGTGGGGGCTTGGCTGCTGCAAAATCCCTGCAGTGAATTCCTCTTCAGTGTGACACTGACCCCGGGCATCAGCTTAATGCCAACGTTAGACCTTGACTGCAAAACGAACCGGGCTGTAAGTGCAAACCTGTAAGTGCCAGGAGAGAAAACCTAACACCACAACCAAGAGACCAAACCAGACCGATGCCTTGCCGGGTCTCCACACGCTCACTTGATGTCCAGGGTTTTCCCAATGTACACAACCCCACAGGGAACTTCTCATCCATCATTTTAACATTTATTAGCTTCATTCCTTGCGTCAACTCCCTTCTTGGGCCATGACTCAGCCCAAAAGGACAATTTCTTTCCCCTCCCAAACATGCTTCATCTGATGCTAAACGCTCCAGGGTGCCAGCGCTGCTGGTGGAGAGCATCTCACACGAGGTATCTGCAAATGCAGCTCTTCATAGGAAGAAATGTGACATCTTTGATAGCAACAGACAGCCCTCAGGCTGCCAGGAGGGCCCAGGAGGTGTCTCCCAGTCACACTCAGCATTTACCTTGCCTGCACTTTTTCTCGTGAAATTTTAACAATGCTGCCATCAGAGAGACCAACTGTCCCCAGCTCAACCCTGTTCTGCATGGAGCAACACAGGGACACAGCTTTGCGACAGCAGAGTGGGAGGCAAAGATGCCCCTGTTGTCTTTGTGCTGGAGACACGTTGCTTACAAACCACAGCTCCCGTGGACACCTCTGAACGGCAATTTCAAAGGTAATTCAATAAACAAACTTCCACCAAAGGAAGCCAGCAGAACCACGATAGGAGCGCACAGCCTTTATGCCAAGACAGCACGCAGCAGCCACAGGGCAGCTCCCAGGGCTCGGCTCCCAGCCCTGCAATGCCACCTCGTGGGAGCCGCTGCGACTCACTGCCAGCACAGACAGCAGGCGCTGCTGAAATCCTAAGGCTGAAACTCCTCATTTCAAGTCTGCTGCAGAAGAACACATTTTGCACAAGCTTCTACAGCCACTGCCTGCTATGCGATGCAAGCTGAAGACAGATGCGTTGCCCTGAAAACTCCATTTGGGGCCACAACGACTTCTTCCTTCAGGCTATCACTTTGATTGATTTTGACTACATTAAACCTGTCTGGTTATCATCACATTTATGGAAGTGCTGACACACAATCACTACACTTCCAGAATTTAAACCAACATCAGCATTAAATCAAAGCATCAGCATGGCTGAGAGAGGAGTCCTACCCTCCGTAAGGAAAGCAATTTGATAGCAATGAAAATCCAATTCACAAGGCAACACCACTCTGTGACATCTTCAACCTGCTGGGCTGACCTCGCCGCATTCTGCTGTTAATCAGGGAATCGTAACGCAGAGATGTGTGAAATCAGTGGGGAACAGCAGGAGGGGCAGACGAGGTGCCCACTTGCAGCACACGCTGCAGATTAGCACTTTAATCCCATTCCCAGCATGTTAGCTACCTGTCCTCATAAGGCAACGAGGAAAAAAAGAACAAAAAATGACACCCTGAAAGGAACAGTCTGTGAAGGGTGAGGCCATAACCAGGGGGCTGTGGTCAGAGGCTCTACATCCAGGCAGAGGCAGTGCTGAGTTCTGTGCCCCAGGGGTCTCTCCTGGGACCAGAACTCTCCAACATGTTTCCCAGGGACACAGATGGGATCGAGTGCACCTCAGCAAGTTTGCAGATGACACCAAGCTGAGCGGCGCAGCTGACACAACAGAAGAGATGCTATCCAGGGGGACCGGGACGGGCTCAAGAAGCGGGCCTGCAAGGAGCTGCACTTGGCTTGGGGCAATCCCAGAGAAAAACTGACCGAGAGCAGCTCTGCCAAGAGGGACCTGGTGGGCCAAAAGCTGGGCTCTGCAGCAGGGCAGGAGGGCAGAGCGCTCCTGCAGCCCAGAAGGCCTCCCGTGTCCCGGCCGCACCGAGAGCCAGCAGCGCGGTACGGCGGCCGTCCCCCACCCGGAGCGCGGCCTGCAGCCCGCAGCTCCCAGCACGGAGCGACGCCGAGCCGTCGGAGCGCCTCTCCCGCGAGAGCCGGGCTCGCTCCGCTCGGAGGGCCGCGGGCTCCGCGCAGCGCTCTGCCTCGCGCAGCCCGCACTCACCGCTCAGCTCGGGGGGCGGGTAGAGGCGGTACGTGCTGTAAATGTCGTTGCGCGTCTGCAGCTCCAGCTTGGCGTGCCTCCTCAGCAGCTCCCCGATCTCCTCCTCCCGGAACGGCGTTTTCTCCAGGATCAGCACGGCGTCCGTCTCCTCCCCCGCCGGCCCGGACACCTGCGGCGGCGCAGCCGTGAGCGCGGAGGGAGCCCGCGTCCCGAGCCGGCCTCGCGCAGCCGCGGGGACGGGGCTCTCCCCGGTACCTGGCCGTGCACGAAGGCCGCCTTCTCGCGCGCCGAGTCCCGCAGCAGCCGCCGCATCCGCACGGAGCCCAACGGGAACGGGGAGCCGCCCGGGGCCGCCTCGCCCTCTTCCCGCCGCCGCTTCGGGGCCGGGCCGTCCGCCATGGCCGCGCGGGAACGGCGTGGAGACGGCGCGCGACGGCGCCCCCTCGCGGCCGGAGGACTCGGCTCCCGCCGGGCCCAGCCCGCAGCCCCGCGCAGCTCCGAGCTTCGTCGTCTCCGCAGCCGCACATCCGCCCCGCTGCTCGGCACCCGCAACGCTGCCCGGGCTGCCTGCAACCAAAGGTTTTCTCAGAGCCACCAGCACGCTTCGTGAGGCGTGAGGAAGGCAGCGGGGTCTCCCCACACAACCGGGCCCTTCACTGGGACCCCCCAAAAAAGAAAAAAAACCCCACAGAGCCAGGAGTTAAAAATCAGACTTGTGCATTTCTCCTCATACAGTGTGCAACACGATGCCCCCACAGAACAAACGTGCTCCAGCTGCAAGCTCCTCGTGGCATCAGCTTGCACAGGAGGATCCAGGCACCCTGAGTGCCCTCATCCTCAGAAGTCGCTGCAGAGCCCCCCCGTGCTTTGCCCTGTGGAAATTTAGTGTTTGCATGACGCGCTCGAGCGATGCAGTCCCCAGCCTTGTCCCCAGAGAGCCCCAACCCTCAGCACAGTGGAGCTGGGCAGGCATGATGGCAGCTCAGCAGTGACGTGAAGGGTCTTCGGCTTCGGCCCCAGTAGCACCACTTTGTCCCAGTGTTCTGAAATGCCCACAGAAATGCCTCCAGCTTTGCTCAGACACAAGTGCCCTCGGTGGGCACTACTCCATTCCACTCGTGGAGTTCCGGCACAGCTCTTCCAGATCTGTGGAGGCAGCAGACAGGCCCCATTAGCAGGCTGACTGATCTCAGATTAACCATTTAAATGGTTAAAGGATCCAACCCCTTCCCGTGGCCCACTGCAGGATGTCTGGGGACAGAGGTCATGCTCCACCCCATGGTACAGGCTGCAGGGTACTCACAGCGCAGCACAGTGTCCCTGATCTGCCTGAAGCTGTTCTCCTTGAGGGCCGTGTAGATGTAGTAGAGGTTCCTCAGCTCCCTGGGGTAATCTTTCCTGTCAATGTCCTTCAGCACAGGGATGGTACGCCCGTTGGCCATCGGGGCCTCTGCTAATGCCTGATGCATCTGGTACCTGCACCAGGGGTCCTGCAGGAAGCTGGGGGTGATGAGCATCACCCAGCAGTGGCTGTTCTGCACAGCCTCACACAGCTCTGTCACGACAGCACTGCCTGCCACGCTGTCCCGCAGCTGCAGGAAACAGCGCAGGCTCTGGGGTTGGCTCTCCAGGTAGGACACCAGCTCCTCCACAAACTCCAGGTCCACCTCACTGTGGCAGATGCACACATCGTAGCTCTTCGCCCAGCGCGCGCTGCTTGAGCTGCTGATGTCCACCGGGGCTGGGCGGCCAGGCCGAGCTGTGCTGGTGCTGCTGGAGGAGCTGGAGCTCCAAGCAGAGGAGGAGGAGGAGGAGGAGAAGGAGGAGGGTGAGGACGCCAGTGAGTGGCTGGTCATGCTATGAGAGCTGCTCGATGTGTGGATGGAGCTCTGCTTGGGCTTCTGCAGGAGCCGCCTAAACCATCCTGCAGAGGGGAGGGGACAGAAGGGAGGCTGAGCTCTAAGAAGCCACATCCTCCTGAGAGCCCCCGCCTCACATCCCTTAAAGTCTCTTGACCACCCTGCCTCTGGCAGTCCCTACACTGCATGGTAAGCCTTGGGGTTGTTCCCCACTTCCCTGCCCTCCAGCTCCCTTCTCCCAGCAAATCGCTCACCAGCCATAACAGGCAGTCCACCACTCAGCCTCCAAGCTCCTGCATGAAACCTCTCCTGCAAGGAGAAATGCAGAGGGGAGAGAAAGAACAATGCACCCGAGGATGCTCAGTGCATCTGCACCCCATAGGCATGCAGCTGACAGGGCTCTCAGCCCCAAAACAACCTCCACCAGGGCCGTTCCACAATGCTCACTCCACAGCAACAATTCCTGTAAACCCACACAAGCAAAAGGGACAGACAGACAGATTCACTTCCCCTTGTGCTTGGTGCAGGCTGCACATGGGATTTCACCATGACCTGGGGGGATTGCGTGGGAAAGGGGAGTTTGGGGGGCATGCAGCAGGGGCAGCCCCATGCATCACCCAGAGCCCTGTGCTGCGGGGCAGCCCCAGCTTTTTCCTCCTCACCTGCAACAGGCAAGTCTGTGGCAGCAACTTGCTGGCAATGCCCAATGCTGCCATGCTGTGTAACTTGCCTGGGCCTCAGCTCTTACAGCAAGCCTTCCTCAAAACACCAGCTCCCCCTGCCACCCTTCTTCCTAAACTTCTCCCCAGAGCAATGTTTCGGATCCAGCTCCAAGCACATTGTTCAGCTGCATCCCTCTGAGCCCTTGGCATTGCTGAGGTTGTGTGAGTTGTCCGAACTCCTCTGCTCCCAAGGGCTGTGAATTGGGACGCCTCTGGCAACACCCTCACCTGCAGCACGTGATGTCAGAGCAGGAGGGCCCCTCATACCCGGAGCTGGGCTAGCCAGAGCCCAGGGGAGGGAACAGATCCTGTGAGGATGGGAGGAGAAGGAATCAGTTTCCAGGGATCGGCACAGCAGCACTACTTCCTACATTGCTTCCTACTCGGCCCATATCCCACGCCCTTGGTGCTACTCCTCCCTCATATTTAGGGGTGCCTCTCTCCCTAAAAAAACGCAGGCAGGCCCACAGGCCACCTTTGCCCAGTGAGGACCAGTTGCCTGACAGTAAGGATGCACCAGGCCCCACCTGTCTGGATGTGAGTGCACAGGGATCTGCACCTTGATGAGATCAGGGCACTGGAGCGACTCATACAAGGGATTTACTGGTGTGCCAGCAGCACGTCTGCTTCTGCCTGTTTCAACACCTCCACCCACCCCACACTTTTCCACACTTGCATCACCTCATTCAAAATAAGCACTGGAGTCTTTCCCCCATGAAAGAAGCAGGATGTGAAGTGAGCGCCGACAAAACCTCCAGACCCACCAGCAACCCAGTAGCATACAGTGCCCTGCCCACGGAAACCACACTCCCCAGGCAATCTCCTGCTTAGTAATAGCAAAAAAGCATAAGCATGACATTAAAGAGCGGCTTAGTGGGCAGGGAACTGGGGTACCCACCTGAAACCCTTGTGTCAGAGCACAGAAGGGACTGCATCAGACCTGGATGGCAGCACAGCATGAGGTAGGCAGGAGGGTCTTCTGGGTGGGAGAGGGGCAGACAGAAGATATTCACTCTGGAGCCTAATAGGATCCAGTGTGAATGGCCCAGCTGAGCCACTCCTGCAGCTTCCTCCTTGCCCCAGTGCAGCTCCAACAAAGCACTCCCAGCCCCTCCCTCCTTGTAGGGAGCACTCACCAGCCCCAGCAGCACCGAAGAGCCATCTTGGGGCTGCTGTCTCACTGGCAGGCAGACCAGCCAGCAGCTTGGGCACGGAAGTGGAGGGAGGGGAAGCCGGCAGCAATCCTGAGCTGGGAGACCAGCCCTCCCTAGGGCCTCCCTCCAGCCCTCCCACATCCGTCACAGCTGGGCCAACCCCATCAACGCAGTGAGAACAGCACCTTGACATCCTTACTGCTGCATATCCTCAAGGACCCCAAATTGTCCCTTCTCCCATCCCTGCCTCACTCAGCATGGGGGACAAGGGCAAAGCCACAAGCTTCTCATTTATGTGATACGCGCAAGCTGAGGGCGGCAAACAAGATGTTTCCCTCCCTGTACAAACACTGCAGACCCACAGATCCCACCTAGAGAGTTCAGCATCACCCAGAGCACTGGAGAGGCAGCGGGGTCAGGAGGCAGCCCTATGGCTTGGCATCACGGCATGGCAGGTTAGACCACACCTGTCCTTTTAGAGCATTTCCCCTCAACAATGACAATGCAGGAAACCACCTCCAGCTGCTTAAATCCCTGCTCTGCACCCCATCACTTGCAGCAACGCACAGTGCCATTCACTGCTTCTACAGGGGACAGACAAGACCTTCCCTCACTGTCCAGGCTGGAGGTGCACAGAGGGGACTCTCACCCCCTGCTGGCAGCATCACCCCCCCCATCCCTGCCGTGGGGCTGCCCGTCCCACCCCACATGCAGTGTGTGCAGCTGTGAGGAGCCCAGCGCCCCAAAGCCCAGCAGCACCGCTATCAGCCCCACCTCAGACACGAGCACCTGCCAGCTCAGACCTTCAGGCGGACCGGGGCTCGAAGGATTTCAGCCTTTCAACCTACAAAAAGACCAACAACAGGTAAACGGCGGGTCTCCATTTTCCCTCCACATTCTCCAACCCGCACTCTCCCCAGCAGGGCCGGCCCCTCTCACCGGCACGGAGCTCCGGGCAGCTCTGCGAGGCGCTCAGCACCGCCCCGACGCGACCAGCGCCGCTGCTGAACGGGGAGCAGCCGCGCTGGGGGCGGCTGTCGGCACACGGGCCGGGGCGGCCCCGCACGCAGTGCCCGCAGTGACTCACCGGCACCAACGGGCCCCACCTGGAAGCGCACAGCTCGCAGCCCAGGCCGCCCTCTCTCCTCCCCGCTCCCTGCCCTCCGCCAACCCCCGCACAGCCGCTCCGAGCTCTGCGATACCAACCGGGCGCCCGGCAGCGCGGCCCCTCCGCCCTCACGGACGGACCGACGGACGCCCCGCCCACCGCGCGTCGTAGCCGCCATTTATTTATTTATCTATTTTTAATATCCCCACGCTGGAAGCATCGCGAGATCTGTGCCAATTCTCGCACATGCGCTTTATTCTTCTCCCACCACCCCCCTCCCCACAATTTTGTGGTGGAAATTCCCGCCCCTTCCGGGACGGAGCCAATGGAAGAGCGCTATGGAAGGAGGCGGGCCAATCGCCTCCCGTTCTCCCACCCACGACTCGGCAGGGGGCGGGACGGCGCTTGCGCAGAGCGCCGCAAGGAGGGCGTCACCACGTGGGGCGGGATGCGCGGCGCCAGGTGCGTGCGGGGAGGGGGGAGCGTTGCCTTGGCGACGGCGGGCGCGGGGCGGAAGGGGCGCGAAGCGAGGCGGCGATGACAGCGGGGCGGTGATGGTAGCGGTGATGGTAGCGGGGGGCCGAGGGAAGGAGGGGGCCTGAGGTGCCGGGAGGGACCCGAGCGGGCCGGGGACGCGGCGCCGCCCGCCCTCCTGGCTCTGTATGGGCCGCCCCTCCGAGCCCCCATCTTTTCCTTTGGGCTCGGCTGAAGCCCCTCTGCTCGCTTTCCTGCACCCCGGGGGCTGTGAGAGAAGTCAGCGCACAGACTGTCCGGCAGCCGTTCTGTACTGCTGAGAGCAGAACGAGGTTGTGACAGGACAGATAAGCCAAGGAGCTGCAGGGTGGTTTCTGCACTGTCTCCAACTCAGCGTAGTCTGAATACCTGGAAAGTTCAGGACGTTTGAGGAGAAAAACTGGAGAACTGCTTCTTACCTGGTGAGTGCCTGGTTTGTTTTGCCTTGGTGGAACTCGCAGCAGGGTCAGCTCCTGCCCAGGCCCCTGCGTGGGGTTTTCCCTACAGCAGTGATGTCACACTTGGAGATGGTGCTGCTGAAGCTCCGTTACCCACACGGAATGTTTGTGCTCGTGTGATCCGTGCCCTGCAGAGCAGACCTTCTGCCAGACTGAAAGTCTGGAGGCTTCCAAGTCTTACTCCTCAAGAAGTAAACTGTAAAGAGCTTTGCTGTTATCAGAGCTCAGAACAAAAAGCACTTTTTTTGGAGACAGGAGGAGACGAGACATTATTTGTGGTTTGTTTTTGTTTGTTTCTTTTTGGCTGTCTGCATTAAGTAGAGATGAAGGCTGAAGTTTGTAATCTTAGAAAACTGCCTTGGTAGCTACAAAGTCAGAGTGTTCCTAAGTCAGAATGACTTTTGGAATGTCCTCAATACTTTAGGATCGTGTAATAATTAAACTGAGTTCTCCACTTATGCTGTCCAAAATACTGCGTACGTGTAAGAGGAGTAAGTGGCATCAGGCTGGGCTGTGAACAGGTGAGACAAGGAGAACAAAAGTCTGTTATGTGAGGTAGGTGGGCAGCATGTGCCCAGGGCTGTTCAGAAGGTGGAAGCGGGGTCCCTGCACACCTCTCCAAGTGCATTACAGTGCAGGCTTTCAGAAGGGGAAAGAAACGAAGCCTGGCAAGCACGCTGTGCCATTGCACTGCTCTTGGGAGAGTCCGCGTGTCCTGTTTTCATTATCCGGCGTGAAAAGGTTATCTAGATTATTGGGACAACCTCTTAAATTATTCCTGCTAACACTTACAGCACAGCTGGGGCTTCCTGTAGAACTTTCACATGCATTACACTGCAGTGTTGCTCCTGGAGTTGGTGGAGCATCTGCAGGCTCACTTGTTCTGTTTGAGAGGCCAGCTTTGTACAGAGGCAGTGAAAGGACAAGGGCAATGGCTTTAAACTGAAAGAGGAGAGGTTGAGGTCAGATGTGAGGAGGAAATCCTTCCCTCGGGGCGGTGAGGCGCTGCAGTGCTGCACAGAGCTGTGCTGCCCCGTCCCTGTGGGTGGGCAATGGGCTGGGGGGCAGCCAGCACACAGCTGGGGAGTGGAGCTGCATGGGCTGAGGTTCCTTCCAACCCAAACCGTCCGTAATCTCACTGAGGCTGCGTGACAACGAAGGCCACAGCCCCTGTAAAAAGCTGTGATTTCAGGCCAGCTGCTCTCGTACAACATTTCTGTTTGGCAAAAGCCTGCCGTTACATTAACCCAAACCAGGATTCTTGTTGGACTCTTCATTACAATTGGCAAGAAAAATACATAAGGGTGCAAAGATCTTTCTGTTTTCTTTGCCTTTTAATAGACTTATTTTGGAGAAACGTGTGGGAGAGGAGCATTTCCTGGCAGGCTTTCTGTGCTTTACGTAATTTGCTATTGAGAGCTCTCAGCACTGCGGCTTCCTTCCTTTCTGTCAGCTTGGCAGTCAGATCCCACCGAGCCCAGATGTGTGGCGGGTTTGGACGATCCCTCCCTTGGCACCACGGAATGCAGTGCTCCCAGCAGCCCTTTGTAGCCAACAAAAATCTGTTTGTGCTTTTTCCCTCCTGCTGTTTCTGAAGCAGCGAGAGCGATGTGCTGTGAAGGTGCCTTATCCTCAGGCTCCCCAGAGAGCCTCAGCGGTACAAAGCAGCCAATCTGACCGTGCTGTGTTGTCAGAAGAAGTTGAGGAGTGGATGAGAGCCAGGGTACAAAGTGCAAAAGCGAGGAAGCCTGAGTCTTGGCTCAAAGGTGATGTAGAGATAACGAGACGAGCGCTATGCGCCCGGCACAGCCGGCTGCTGCGCGCTGTGATGCACACATGTGGTGACTTTGCTTGTGGTGATTTGTCTACTGTAGAAACTGGATGGCTTCTACGGTGAGCCTGGGTAAAGAAACATTATTGGAAGATGGAATGCCCCCTGCAAAAAAGCCCAGGTAACTCCCATTACACGCCAGTGCATTTCTTCTAATGAGAGCTTTTCCCGTAACCTTGCGTCGTCCTTTAATCAGACCGATGTTTGGCACAGAGCTTTAGCAGTCCTCTCTGTTCCTGATCCAGGAAAGGCGTTCTGTCTCTAGCTGTGCTCTCTAAGTAGTGCTTTCCTGTGGTGCATGAAACAAAGGCCTTAATGCTGAGCATGTGCCAAAGAATTCCTTGCTGCTGGTTTCCTTAACCCCAAAGCCAGGCTGCATCTTGCGCAGAAGGCTTCGTTGTGCTGCTCTGTCTCCCTGTTGGGTGTTAGCCCTCATTCAGGTGCTGCCCTGCTGTGCTCCTGCACAATGTGGGATGGCACATCCTGGTAGTTCAGGCAGTTCCTCAAGTTAGCTGGATTTTGCTGCATGAGAGGCTAAATAATTGCACTCTGGAGGCTCTCTGTACTTACAAGTAGGTTGTCTGGCACTTCTCTGAATTGCAGTTGCATGTAGTGAAATTGTGAGCCTTTGTGATGCCAGCCTGTGGGGCTGTGCCTGTTCCTGAAGGATACTGAGTTGTCTCTCTCCTGAATACCAAAGAGCCCTAATGGACATTTTGATGAAAAACTTAGGCAGCGAGTGCCTCAGCTGTCCTTGATTTGCACGTTCCATGACTCAGGGCATCCTTCTACGTGTGATGGTGCCAGTTGTGCTGCTTTCTCCTCTTGCAGGAAGCTGTTGCCAAGCCTAAAAACCAAGAAGCCTCGGGAACTTGTTCTGGTGATCGGAACAGGAATCAGCGCTGCGGTTGCTCCCCAGGTCCCAGCTCTGAAGTCTTGGAAGGGTTTGATCCAGGCTCTCCTGGATGCCGCTATTGACTTTGATCTTCTGGAAGATGAAGAAAGCAAAAGGTTTCAGAAGTGTCTCCATGAGTACAAGAACTTGGTGCACGTTGCCCATGACCTTATCCAGAAGCTCTCTCCGGTGAGTGCTGCAGTGCATCTGTGTCCCAGGAAAGCAGTGGCTTTGGAGGCACAGCAGGTCCTGCATTTGCAGGGAGTCGAGCACTTGCTGTGTCTGGGCTGGGTTCCTGAGGGGGTTTTGGGCCAGGAGCTCCCAGAGCTGTCTGTGTCCCTTGGACAGCCGAGGGCCCCCAGCAGCTGCATGATTCCCAGGGACTGAACACCAACTGCTGGCATTTCATGCTGAGCTTGCCAGGGAGTGCTCCCACCTCAGAGAAGCATGTGAAGGGCGAGAGGAAATCCGTCCCGTTGTGCAGAGTGACGCTCCTTTATCTCTGAGCTGCAGAGCTGAGTCAATAAGTCTGGATGGAGCAATGCCTGGTGAACGTCTCTTCTCAGATGTTCTCTTGTTCTTGCTCTTCGACCTGAAAATAAATCTGATAAAAGTGCAGTGTTTGCCTTGCAAGGCCCTACAGCTTTGCAGAGCTCTTCAAGAAACGCGTGGGTAGTTGTTGTGTATTCATTTGGCACAAAGTATGAAAAGAAAGCAGGCTCTGATCTTAATCTCTCTCTGCTCCTCAGCGCACAAGCAATGTTCGCTCAACGTTTTTCAAAGACTGTCTGTACGAGGTGTTTGATGACCTGGAATCTAAAATGGAAGATTCTGGGAAACAGCTGCTTCAGTCAGTGCTTCACCTGATGGAAAACGGGGCACTGGTGTTAACCACAAACTTCGACAACCTGCTGGAACTGTACGCAGCACACCAGGGGAAGCACCTGGAGTCTCTTGACCTGACGGATGAGAAGAAGGTAAAGGATGTTGATCCAGGGCTGAGCTGGGACAACGTGGGCTGGTGGCAGCTGCAGGATGTGCTGTTATGCCCACGTCAGGGGTTGTGCTGCTAACAGTAATGTGCATCGTGTCGGGTGAAGGGCAGGCAGAGGCTCTGACAGTTTGGGGTGGTGAGGAGCGACGGCGCAGGCTGGTTTCTAAGGCGCAGTTCTTACTGGCTGATGTCCAGTGCTCAGGAGCAGCCTTTGAGCCTGGTGTTCCTCTGGTCTCTGTCCCTGAAACCTGTGGCTGGGCCTTGCTGCAATACGGTGAGCCTTGCTTCCACGTGAGGCTTGGATTGACAGCTCTCACCGAAACTGGCAACTCTGGGCAAAAAGCAGAGCTGGCCTGTCTGCTGTGATGTGCCTTTTGTAGGAGGGCTTTTTGAGAGAGGGCTCTGGCCTGGCAGGCAGCAAGCTGCGACTCCTGGGTCCTTCGTCCTTCCTCCCTCCCCTCTGCCCTGCCTCCAGGAGGGCCGGGCAGCTCTGTGTGCCACAGACCTCGTGCTGCATTTGTAGCTGTTGGCCTCAGACACTTCCCTGCCTGCCCGGGGCTTCAGCCAGGCAGAAAATGAGTGGCAAACAGCACAGCCCGTGCCCCCAGCACTGCCCTGCTTTACACCGTGGGTTTTACTCGTGCAAATCAGTGCTGCTCCGTTTGTGGATGCTGTGAAGTAATCTGTTTCTTTCCATCCTGACTTGTTTCTGTGCTTTGTTTCCTCTGTGACCTCTTAATCTCCATGGCTGCAGGTACTTAGAGCAATACAAATCAGCGTTCTAATTATTGCCAGCTTAAATGAGCTGCGGTCTGTAGGAGTAAACTGAGAGCCTCAAAGTGGCTTTCTGAAATGAAGGTCAGCTGCTGAGCTTTCTCAGGGCCTGGGGAGCAAAAAATGAATTCGGTGGACTCTAAGAAATTTGCTGACATTAGATTCCATTTGTCCCCTTTTTCTGCTGAGCCTGGCGCATTGATCATAGTCTCTTCCAGTGACGTTAGCCATTCCTCTGTAGTGTTGAACCAAGAAGTGCCATAGGCTGTTGAACTCACAGCCTCTTGAGAAAACGAGATGAACGTGAGGAAGAAGCTGCCTTTGAGAAGCTTCTCCAGAGCCTCCACTTTAAAGCTCACAATTCAGCACCCGAAGAGGTGGGAGACGAGTCTTAGGGCAGGAGCTGCAGAAGACCCAGCGAGGCCGTGCCGTAGCAGCTGTGCTGGCGCTCACTAACACTGGCGCCGTTTGTTCTGGCAGGTGCTGGAATGGGCCCAGGAGAAGAGGCAGCTCAGCGTCCTGCACATCCACGGTGTGTACACCAACCCCAGCGGCATCGTGCTGCACCCAGCCGGCTACCAGAACGTGCTGCGCAACACCGAGGTGATGGTGAGCTGTGCTGCAGGGCTGTGAAGAGCCCCGTAGGTTCGGAGCCAGATTCCTTCTGAAAATACGCTCTGCTCTTACCGAGAACATCTTTCCTGTTTTCTCTTCAAGCGAGAGATTCAGAAGCTGTATGAAAACAAGTCGTTCCTGTTCTTGGGCTGTGGTTGGACTGTTGATGACACCACGTTTCAGGCCCTCTTTCTAGAAGCTGAGAAGCACAAGTCAGACCTGGAGCACTTCATGCTCGTGCGGAGAGGAGATGTGGACGAGTTTAAGAAGCTCCGTGAGAACATGCTGGACAAGGGCATTAAAGTGATTTCCTATGGAGATGAGTACACAGACCTGCCCGAGTACTTTGGGAGGCTGGCGAGTGAGATTGCCACGCGGGGCCGAGCAGGTATGGGCTGTGTGCACCTTGCAGGTGGTCCTTGGAGCACAACACGGCATCACTGCCTCTTTTTCTCTGTCCTGTATTTCCCCCCACCCAGTTTTCTGCATTTGTAGCTGGATTTGGGGCTTATTTTCACACAATCACTGCATGTTCATGTAGTTAAAACAGCTCTACTGCTTCTGACTCATCCATACCTAACTTTTTTCATGCAGCTGGCATCATTTATTCTCTTTCTAGTGAAAGGAAAGTGCGTTCCAGGCTCATTATTTGGTCTCAGTGATCTGCACACTACTCAGACTGAGCCAATTCTCTAACAAATGAGATTTCACACTAATAAATCATAAAAATCAGAAACAAGCTTGCTAACCAGAGCCTTGCTGGTGTGTGTCCTGAAGGTAAAACCCAGCCAGGAGGGCGTCACGGGGAATCCCACTTGCTCCTGAAGTGCCATCCATTCCTGGAGCAGTGCAGGCTGAATGCTGACGGTTGCCTCCTGCCTTCCCAGCCCATACCCACGCTCTGCTCTGTTTCAGGTGTGCCTAAGGAGGGACAACAACTGAACGGCTCCGCCGCAGCGCACGCTGAGATAACAGGTAAGGTTCCCCCAGGTGCAGAGAGGCTCCCGGTGCAGCAGCGCCACCCGCCGTGCGGTGCTGAGCCCACTGCTGCCTCGTCCTGCGCGGCGTCGCTGCACGGCCAGCCCCGGTTGAGAGCAGAGGCTCCACCGCCCCGCGGCACCCGGCGTCCCTCTTTCCAGCCACCTCGCCAGGTGCCACAGGAGCGGCGCGGGCCCAGGCCGGTTCTGCAGGGCCTTTCCTTCCCACAGGCTGCAGCACGTGAGCCGCAGGCCAGGAGCGACGCCGCGCTCCCACAGCGCAGGGAGCCGCAGCACCGCGCGAGGGGAGGAGCGGCGCCCTGCTCAGAGCTGCTGCTGAGGCGGGCAGGCAGAGCCGAGGGCCGGGCCCCTCCTCACACAGATACCTGACGACTGACTGTCCTTTTTACCAAGGCTGTTTGCTGGGGGGTGAGGTCTCCCCACCTCAGCTGCAGCCTCCTGTAATTTCATACTTAATGCCTTTGTATTCTGTACTTTCACTTCAGAATGAAACTTGAGCAGTTTTTGTTTTGCTTTTTTTTTTTACTTGAAGCTCTAGTTTTATAGTCCTTCCTTTGTACTGTACAGTATTTTGTATGTTGAAGCTCCTATTAAAGGTCTGTTCAGTTCCATTACCCTTTTGGCTGCTGTTTGGTTTGCATGCACACGTCACAGCCTGAAGGCAGAGGCAGCAGCCTGTCTCCCCCCTGAGAAGGAAAGGGGTCTTGGCTGAAGGCAAGCTAGTTGTACACAGAAAACAAATTATGAAGTTTATTTATATAAATTATGTCTCTTAGCAGACAGCATTCAATTTATTGCACTAGAGCACATCTGCAATACGGAGCTACAAGACATCATAAGAGAGTTTTGTATTATTCAATGTAGCACTTTAGACCAGGATCAAGAGGCACTCTAAAGGGGGGGAGAAAGGGTGCAGGGAAGCAGCAAGCAGCCACCACTGTCTTCCAGTATTTTTTTTCTTTTGTTACGTAGTTGAGGCAGCAAACAACGCTGAGGCCAGCAGGCAGAAGAGCCGCAGGGGCACACTGCCCTCCATCGCCGGCCGGTGGAACAACCAGCACTACCAGACACACTGCTGCAGTTCTCTGGGTACCCTGCAGCGAGACCCCAGCGACAAAACAAATGGGGGCCATAAGGCAGTTTAGCATCTCCCCGGGAGCCCCTGCTTGCCCAGGACAGGGGCAGGCTGTTGCAATTTTTGGTTTATCAACTTTGGTGAGCTGCTACAGCCAAAGTTAGCAGCACTATGAACGGTCAGGTGGTCTAATGCTGTCACTGAGCAGCAGCTGTCCCTGTTGTATGGTCTGCAAGAGCACAAAAGAGCAGCTTGGGGCTCAGTACCCACCTGCAGCCCTGCCCAACAGTGCACAGCTGCTGCCAGTGACAGCACAGCCCCACAACAGCAGGTCCTTGCACTGCCACTCGGATAGCATGAACAATACAAAGCTCTGGTTTCAGCCTCTGCATGAGGGAGGCCGAGTTATTGGAACAGAATGAAGGAATCCAGGGGCAGGGCTATACTGAGCAAAGCCCCACAGCTGATCAGGGAGGAACGCTCCAAGTAGAGAAGAGAGCTTTCATCTACAAATACACCATAGTCAATAAATATGGCAGGAGAGCACGGACCTAACTGGAATAAGCACAAGGTGATCAGCTAATACCTTCCTTCCTATTTCATGCTCATGCAGTGTTGGAAGAGCACACCAGCGAGCACTGAGATCAGATGGGCAGGGGAAGCACAGCCCTTGCACCCGCATCCCTTCATTCTGTTCTGCACTACACTGGAAAGACTAGTCAGTCACAGGGTGAAGCATGTTCTTCTGAGACATCTGCAAACAGCAATTTGGTGCAATACTTGATTTTAGGCCTTCATGAGCGCTGCGACCACAGCCTTGGCGTTAAGGCTACGCAGATCACAGTAGGTTTGTCCAGTACCAACAAAAACGATGGGCTTGCTTGTGATGTAGGTCATAGAGATGGCGGCGCCGACCTGCCGAGGGGACGAGCACCATTAGCAGGCCAGCCTCCCCCTGTACAGCCTGCTGCTCCATAAGAACATTTCCAGTTCACTGCAGACTTCAGAGGGAGCAAAAAAAGGGCCCAAGAATGCAACAACAAGGATCCAAATTTCTGAGCTCTGAGTTTTGGAGAACACACAGAAACACACAGGCTGCTCCCAAGGATGCAGGCACCTCACACCCCGTGCTCAGCTCCACGGGCAGGCAGGAGGCCAGGGGGCATTGCAGCTGGCATAACCAGGTGTCAGTGCCACCTGCAGCCACAAGTCATCTCCCACCAGGATTTTGCATTCTGCAGATCTCACTCCCTACGCTGCATAAGCAGGTTCACCCTGATTTAAAGCCACCTTATTCTGCTTGGCATTTAATGCAGGCTCTGAGTGCCTGATTCAGCTGCACTTCCCTTGGGATGTGCTTGCTGCAGCTGTCCCAGTATTACCTCCTCAGGGGAGCACAAACACTCAGCCTTCTTATGTTTTCCAGAACTGTACAGTCCCAATTCCACATCCCTCAATGCAATTCTGCCAAAGAACTGGGACACCTCACGGCCATTTGTCCACAGGGACAGAAATCAGTCTGCTTCGTTTTGTCTAGATGGCTGGAGCGCATTTTAACACAAAGGACAGCCTCCAGGAGAGGCCATAAGTGGCCCACTGAAAACAGCCCCTGTTTGTTGACTGCAGCTCCTCCCTCCTGTCACCAGCAGGAAGCTCTCTGCCAGGGTAAGGTTGGAGAAAACCCCCCGAGCACGAAACGCTCCCCTTACCTTGTCATCGATGGTATCAAACTTGGTGAGCACAATTCCATCAATGAGCCGGGGCGTCTGGGCCATGGAGTGGTCAGCCAGGGCCTTGTTGAACTTGACCTGAGGAAGAGAACATCCTCAAGAAACGAAGTTGTGTCGCCGACCCCGTCTGAAACACCCATAAAACCCACGCAGATCTGCCCTTCCCAGAAAGCAACTCTGCAACTCACCAGCTGATCCACAGCCTCGTTTCCCACCAGAGCCTCTCCAACGAAAAGGACCAAGTCAGGAGCGTTGACGGCAATGAGTTTTGCCAGGGCTGTCATCAAGGGGGCATTGTCCTGCATGCGGCCCGCCGTGTCCACCAGCACCACGTCGAAGCCCTGGTTACGAGCTGTGGAGACACGGAGAAAGCGTAAGTAGAGGAAGCCCAGGGTCCCAGCCGGCCCCACCTGCGCCGCTCCTTCCTACCATAGGAGATGGCCTCCATGGCGATCCCTGCAGCGTCCTTCCCGTAGCCCTTCTCGTACAGCTGCACCATGCTCCTCCCGCCGTGGCTCTCCGGGGGGTGCAGGGCGTTGAGGCGCCGGGTGTGAGTGCGGAGCTGCTCCACGGCCCCCGCTCGGAACGTGTCGCAGGCAGCAATGAGCACGCTGAAACCATTCTCAATCAGCCAGAACGAGATCTGCGGCCAGCAATGGAAAAGCCTCGTTAGCGGCCGCGGCCCGAGCCCCGTCCTGTCCCAGAGCCGCCGGTGCCGTGCCCCACCTTGGCCAGGTTGGTGGACTTCCCAACGCCGTTGACGCCGCAGAAAGTGACCACGTAGGGCCGGCGGTGCCGCTGCGCATCCATGACGTCCCGGAGCACGTCCACGCGGCGCTGCGGCTGCAGGATCTGCACTAAGGCCTCCTGCAGGGCCTGCTTCACTGTTGAGGTCACAGCTGGGAAAAAGGAGATGAAAGGAGAACGTGTCACACCTGGGAAGCCCTGCAGAGAAGCCCTGATCCCCAAATTACCAACGCGAGGAGGCCAGGAAGACATTTGGTACCATAGATTCACCAGGTTGGAGAAGCAGGGGACCCAGGCCAGCGAGCTGCACGCACCAATAAGAACACAAGCAGGGCACAACCACTTACTGGTGAACGTTCCCATCACTTTCCCTTCCAGTTTCTTCGCCACTGATTCACAGAGCTGGACTGCAATTTCAGCTGCCACGTTTTTTGCTTTGGGAGAGAGAGAGAAGAGAGAAGAGAGCAGGGTTATCAGAGCAGGATGGACGGCACATGTTGGACACCAGCATCACACCAGGCCTGGGAGCTTGGCGCAGAGGGAAGAGTGGAAGTGAAGGATCCCCTCCTGATTTCACCACTCAAAGCCACACACAGCAGACCCACACGTACCAATCAAGTGATCTTTCATCTTCTCCAGGACTGGGTCCATGTCCTGTCTTGTCAAACTCTTGGAGCCCACCAGGCCTTTCAGCATGCCAAACATACCTCCGAGGCCACCTTTCTTTGTGCTGCACAGAAGCAGAACACTTATCTTAGGTGTGAACTGCACAGCGCATGCAGCAGCCAGCAGCAGGGAGAGACAATAGCCTGTCACAGCTGACAAACAGACCTGTCTGTACCTGCTGCATTACTGAATAGTCTGGAAAATGAATTATGGGAGGGAAATCACGAAGGATGCAGCAGTCAGGGCCTCAGGAGCCTCTACCTGGGTTTTGAAGCGTTCTGAATAATCTTCTCCTCCTCAGCTTCTTCGTCACTCTCATATTCGAGGTCATAGAGGCGGCCAGGCTCACGGTTTTGATCCTTAAGGGCCTGCAAGATGAATGCAGCACACTGAGAAGTGGCAACTGCTGAATGTTATTTTCCCAGCTTGCTTTCAATAGGAACAGCATCAGCTACAGTCAGCAGATGCAGCTCTACAGATCCCTGCCACAAGTGCTCAGTGGTTTGGTCAGATTGGCGCATGCAGATCTGGTGCTGTTTGCAGCAGAAAACCTCCTCCAGGCAGCAGCTGGGCGCCCTGATCCCCTCTTCCAGCACTTTCTCAGCCACTCTTGGTGATGCCCCGCTGACCCCAGAACACACCAAAGCAGACACCATGACCTGACTTCTTACCATATCAGGCTCAAACTCCTCCATGGGAGAGGCCTCTGAGTTCCCGTTGGTAGTGGAGTTACTGTAATCAAGTACTTTGGCGTTAGAGTTCCCCAGATCCCACACTCGGGGTTTCTTCCCCTTCTCCTTCTGAGCATCAGGCTTTGGAGACTTGCTGAAATAAAGACCACAGACATTTTGTTCTGCTGAGTGAAGTATGAGCAAACTCCTCCTTAGAGGCTTCAAAAACTCAAAGTCCAGCTATCAAAAAAGGCAAAAATCCAGGCTAAAACTGACCAATGCCAAATCTCCACAGAGTTTATCTATCTGAACTTTAGCCTTGTCTCAAGCTCAGCATGGCCTGCTTTAACCCAAGCCAGCCATCAGCTCACCCTTCACTTGCTGTGGGAAAAACTCCCCCCCATAAAAGAAATCTGGACCCCACACGAGGTCTGGATTTTGAACACCATCCTGTACTTTGACCACATTCTGAGGATTAACAGGATGATTTTCAGGGGCAATGAAGGAAAGAGAAGCTCAGTATCACCGAGGGATGGCATGGAGCCTCCAGCAAAAGCAGGGCTGCAGCACGCGTGGATTCACCGCAGCCTGACTGCGCCCTCGCAACCCACCTGGACTTCTCCCCTGCTTTCATGTGTCTCTTGAAGAATTCTTCCCGGTTCTTCTGCAGTATTTCATCCTTGGTCAGTTCCTCCCTGTCCCCAGGGGCCGAGGACTGCTTTTCACCTGGGGCTGCTTTACTGGAGGCTGTAACAGCTTCATTCCCTGAAGGAAAGAGCACCAGCACGAGCTCAGCCTTTTAGAACTAGCAGAAAGAGCCAGCACTACACTGACTGTATGTGAGAAACTCCTCTGTGAAGACAGAGGCCCATTCCTGCCTCACCTCTGAGATTTTGGAAGCCTCAGGCCACATGAGCATCTTATTTCAGCCCAAAGGCAGCTGCATTTGGGATCCCATTTTCCCAAGATTAGCAGTTTACGAACCAGCTCTCCCAGACATCTTTGTATGTTGGTCGTTCCCCATCTCAGAACCAAGAATGCTAAGAAGCCACGCCATTACAAGAGCACCACCTCTGCCTGTCACTGCCCTAACCGAAGGGCTGCCCTCCCCAGTCTGGGCATATGGCAGCACTACCACAGCAGATGAAGTGCATTAAGCAGGACTCTTCCCTCCTGTGCTGGCTGTGACCAGAAGACCCTGAACAGCACTCAGGTGCTGAGGAATGATTAGAGAAGCACAGGCGGGGCCACACGTGACCCACATTTCACAACCCTGGAATATTTGCACCCTCCCATGCACACACACACACACACACCTCCCTTCAACTCACCTTCCTTTTTGGAACCTTTGTTCTTCTTGTTCTTGACTTTCTCCTTTGGTTTCTCCCCTCTGGTCTCTATCATACACTTGACAGTCTTTTGAGATTTCACAGACTGCTCAAACGTCTTCATCACGGTGGGAGCTCGGACCTTACTGCTCTCCTCTGCTTCCCTGCAGGACAGTGCCCATGAGCCTGAACTGCAGCCCCGCGCCGCCCAGCCCCCGACCTGTGCCTGCTCTAGACAGAAGCAACACTGAACAGCTCAGCCCTTCCCACACACCATTTCTACCAGGTTTTTGGCTATTACGGCCTCATCTGCTACCACACGGCAAGCAGCACAACTGAAGAGCAGAGCCCCCAGCTCAGACACGGTGCTGAGCTGTGGGAAGGAGAGCCGCTCACCGGAGGAGGCGCAGGAAGTCATCCTTAAAATCGAAGGTGCCGTTCAGGACGCCCAGGGCGCCCTTCTGCTGGAACTCATTGCGGTATTTGTCTCTGAACTCCTTGTGAACATCATCTATCAACTTGTCCACGTAGGTTAGAGTCAGGATCTTCTGAAATCCCACCTGCAACAACGCGCAGCGGAAAGATGTCGCCCTGAGCAAACGGCACTTAAGTAATTAAAAAGGCTAAAACCATTAATTGCAGCGCATCGACCTTCCTGGATTTCAGACACTCGGTATGAAGTTCTTTAATTTCAGGCACCAGATGATGCAGGCTTCAGGCTGAGTTTCCTAATCTGACCTCCCAGGCTTTTAATACGTTCTCTCAAAAAAGAAAAAAGCACAGTGCAGAGCTCTGCTTTAAAACGTGACTCCCAAAACAACGCTGTTTCATAGCAACAAGGCACGCACTGAAAGGCCAGAAAGCCTCGTGCTTATCTGTATGCATCCAAACAACATCGTGTGGAGCCCCTGAGATAAGGAATAGAGAGTTCAAGGAGAAAAGCATCACAGCTTTCCTGAAGTTGAAAAGACCAGGCGCTCTGTTTTTTTCTATCATAAATCCAAACACAGACTTCTCATCGGCGATGAGGTTTCCTTAGAACGTAACAGCCTGTGCTGTTTCCATTCCGCTCAAAGCTGGATTCTTAATCCTATCGCTGCTGACTAAAATAAACCAGCACAATCCACAGCAGCACAACTGAAGGAGCAGCCACACCTCGCCCACAAAATCCAGCCCTCAGACAGCAAAACCCTACAGTGTGCTGGGAAAGCCCACCAAGAACACAGCGGGCAGGCAAAGCACCAGGGGTGACCTCAGTGAAGAGCATTCCTCACCCAAAAATCCCACAGCAAGAAGCTCGGCCAGGCAGAGACAAAACACAGCAGTATCTGAAGCATCAGTTTGCTCAAGATGCACAGGCGACAGTTCTGTGTGCAGGAACACCCCTGTGCAAACAGGACGGCTTTTGGCCGCCTGCAACCCACGTGCTGCTCTTCCCAGGCTGTCCCCATGGCAGCTCTGCACGCCCTGCACCAGCTGTTCTGCTCCAGCCCAGCTCAGTGGCAGCCACTGGGTGTTTGACACGTGGCCCAGCTGCAGCATTTCTCAATGGGCACCAAACTCTTCTGGTGGCGCAGGTGGAGGAGGAGGAGCAACGGGGACATTGTGTGCCAGGGAAAGCGTCACCTGCCCTGTGTGCAAGACGCCTTTTGCACCACACAGCACTGAGCTAAGCCCTGTTTTTTGTGAGGTTTCAGTAAGTCAAGGGAAAGCCTCAGCCACACAGGAAGGCAGAACGCAACATTTGTGCCTTCCTGGAGCTTCTGACCAAGCCACAAACCTCCCTGAGCACTCTTCCTCTTCTGAGCTTCAACAAGCCCCTTACTGACAGTCCCTCAGAGCAGACAGCATGGCAGCCAGTCATGAAAACAAAGCATTTAGAAACCAGGGCAGCCCGAGGGGGGGGGCACTTACCACAAACACCAGCTCAAACTGGTTGTCCAGCTTGTACTTGAGCGTGAGGGCTTCATGGGTGAAGGAGTTGTTGCCACCTCGCTCCTATGGGATGGACCCATCAATTCAAGGTGGTGACAGGGTGACAGCAACAGTGTGACACCTCCCCTTGCTTTCCTCCTTTTCCCCCAGCCAGAACACAATGGGGACACTATTCCAAGCACAGCCCTCAGCGCCCAAATAGGGACCCCTGTCCACCACCACCACCACCACCCCCCCCCCCCCCCCCGGGGGGGGGCCCCCCCCCCCCCCCCTCCAAAGCGGCTCTCCAAAATTCGGCGGTGCTGAGCCACACCGCACATCTCCCAACTACGAGGTTCCTCTTCGTCCCGCCCCCCCCACGCAGGAGCTCTGCCCTCAGCCCCTCTCCTCACGGAGGCAGCCGCAGCCGCGGCCTCTCCCTCTCTCCCCCTCTCGCAGGCCCCTCCCTCACGCAGGCCTCCGCCGCCGCTCCCCCGCCCCGGCGGACCTGCAGAAGCACGGAGCGGATGAGGGCGTTGACAGGGGCAGTAGCGGCGGAGGCGGGCCCGCGGACGCCCTGGAAGCACCAGAGGACGAGCCCGCCCTTGCTGAAGATGGTGAAGAAGTCCAGCATGGCGGCGCCGGGCCGGGCTGCGCGCACACGTCGCACTGCTCCGCGCACTTCCGCCGGAAGTCACCGTATAGCCACGGAGCTTCCCATTGGCTGTTAGGCCAAAAGAGGATGTGGGGGGGGGAAAGCCAATGGCGAGACTAGGAGGGGCGGAAGGGGCGGAAGGGGCGTGAAGGCGGGGCAAAGGGCAAAGGGCAAAGGGCGGGTGGCGGGGCTGGCTGCCATGCTGCGCGCGGTGCGAGGGGGGCGCGCGTTGTGGGGGGGCTCCGGGAAGGGCAGCGGGGGGGCGAAGCTGGGCCGCACCCTGCGCACCGCCACCCCGCAGCGCTCCGACGTCTTCCGCGGTGAGATGAGGGCTCTGGGGCTGGGGGCAGCGGGAGGAAACGCGGGTGTGGATGTGATGGAGATGTGCGGAGGGAAAAGGGTACAGGGAGGGGGTAAAGGTCACTCGGTGGGGTCGCAGGGGGTGCAGAGGGGATTCGGCGGGGTTCTGGGGGGAACCGAGGGGATCCGGATGCATCGTGAATTGGCAGAGGGGTGGTGAATGGGAACGTGGGGGGTCGTCGGGGTGTGCCGTGGTGTGCGGAGGGGACTGGGAGATCTGGGGGGTCCAGGAGACCTCGGTTGGTTGGGTGAGGCCCTGGGAGGGGGACCTGCAGTACTCAGTGTGACTTTGGGGGGGGAGGAGGGTCTTAGAGTCACCTGGGAGGGTGTTCTAAGTGGAGTTAGGAGGATCTCCTGGCTGCATCCCTCTCTATTCCCACAGAGCTGGGGCTGAGGCTGTCCCACCTGGGGCAGACACTGCGGAGCCAGCTGCCAGAGTCAGAGGGGGCCTGGAACCCATTGCACTCCCACCAGAACTGCCCCCCACCCCCAGAGCGAGCAGATGTGGTGGTGGCAGGGGGGGGCGTGCTGGGCTGGTCGGTTGCCTACTGGCTGAAGACACTGGAGAACAGGCGGCATGGCATGCGGGTGGTGGTGGTGGAGCGAGACCCCACGGTGAGACCCAGAAGATGGGGGAGGTCGGCAGGGACACACCATCCCTCAACACCCCTCTGCCTCCACCACCCCTCTCCTTTCCCCCCCACAGTATTCCCAGGCTTCCACTGTGCTGTCTGTGGGGGGCATCCGGCAGCAATTCTCCCTGCCTGAAAACATCCGCCTGTCTCTGCAATCTGCCGCCTTTCTCCGTACTATCAACGTGAGTTTGGGCGATGGCAGCACTGTGGGAGGGTGTCTCAGTGAGGAGTCTCATTCTTACCCCTTCCTTACTGTGCTGTCCCCCCTCAGGAACACCTGTGGGTGCCCAACGAGCCCCCCATCGACCTTCAGTTCCAGCCCTCGGGATACCTTTTCTTGGCGTCTGAGCGTGGCGCTGCCACCCTGGAGGCTGGCGTCAAGGTGCAGAGGTGATATGGCCACCCCTGACCCCCATTAAAAGGGACACTGGGGACACCCCTGTTCAGTGACACTGTTTGTCTCCAGGGAAGAGGGCGCCAAGGTGGTCCTGCTGTCCCCTAGTCAGCTGAAGGCCAAGTTCCCATGGATAAACACAGAGAATGTGGCCGTGGCGTCCTACGGTAGGGGACGTGCTGTTGATGGGGATGCTGCTGTCCCTTTGTGTCACCATGTGTGTCATTATGTCTGTCCACAGGGCTGGAGAACGAGGGCTGGTTTGACCCTTGGTCCCTCCTCAACGCCTTCCGAAGGAAAGCCATGTCCCTGGGCGTCTACAGCTGCGTCGGAGAGGTGACATGTGAGTCCTGGGCGCGGTGACACCACCACTACAGACACCGGGACAACCTCACCCACCCTACAACTTCCAGCTTTTGTGGTGGACACCGCAGACAACACACCAGGCATGCTGCAGGGCGTTGGCCGTGTGAAATATGTTAATGTGAGTGTGCCCCAATGCCAGCGTGTTCGGCTGTCACCATGCTGTGGGACCATTTGGGAGCCCGTCCTCAATGTCCCAGGTGCGCCTTCCCGACAGCCCGGAGCAGCAGCCCGTCTCCTGTGCCATTGTGGTGCTCGCCGCCGGCGCCTGGACTGGGAAACTGCTGGACTCGGCCACGGCCGGGCTGCGGGGCAGCCTCGCGTTGAGCCCCCTCCCCATAGAGCCCCGCAAGAGGTCGGGGCTGGGACTGAGTTTGGGCACTTTGAGCCCCCATTTCTGCTCCATGGGGTGGGACACGGCGATGTCCCCACAGGTACGTGTATGTGTGGCACTGCCCTGGCGGGCCGGGCCTGGAGACGCCATTCGTCATTGACTCTTCGGGAGCCTATTTCCGGCGCGAAGGCATTGCTGGCAACTACCTGGGGAGCATGAGCCCACTAGAGGTGCGTTCCCAAGGGTCGCAGTGTTGCGGGGACCCCCGAGGTGTCCACAGTGGTCACCGCCTGTCGCCACGCAGGGCCGTGAGCCGGACGCAGGAAACCTGGAGGTGGATCACGACTTCTTCCAGGAGGAGGTGTGGCCGCGGCTGGCGCACCGCGTGCCCGCCTTCCAGACACTGAAGGTACGGTGCCCTCCACCCTCCATCCCACGCATTTGGGCTCCACGCTGCCGTGATGCAGCCCTACAATGCCAAGCAGGTGAAGAGCGCGTGGGCTGGCTACTACGACTACAACACCTTCGACCAGAACGGAGTGCTGGGCTCACACCCGCAGCTGCGGAACGTCTTTGTGCTGGCGGGGTTCAGCGGGCACGGCCTGCAGCAGTCCCCTGCTGCTGGGAAGGCGGCTGCTGAGCTGCTGCTGCACGGCTCCTGCATGGCTGTGGATGTCAGCAGGCTGGCACCTGGGCGGCTGTGGGGCAGTGAGCCTCTGCTGGAGGCGGCCATCGTTTGAGCGGGAGCACCACAGTGTGGGTGCTGGGGGTGGGGGGCAGTGCTGCTACGGTAATAAAGGGATGGAGTGTGGCCGCTGTCTGTGAGTGAAGGGAGTCATGTTTCCAACTGGATCCCCCCCTGGGATCCTTTTGTACGCACTGTGTCCTATAACCTAAGATGCCATTTGCCCCCCTCAGAATCACAGAATGGCCAGGGTTGGAAGGAACCTCAAGGATGAATCTCCAACATCCCTCATCACAGGCAGGGCCACCAACCTCCACGTTTAATACCAGCCCAGGCTGCCCAGGGCCCCATCAACCTGGCCTTGAACACCTCCAGGGATGGATGGGGCATCCACAGCCTCTCTGGCAGCTGTTCCTCACCACTCTCACAGCAAAGAACTTCCCCCTGACATCCAACCTCAATCTCCCCTCCCTCAGCTTCAAACCATTTCCCCTTGTCCTGCTGTTATCTCCCCTTTCCAAGAGCTGATTCCCCTCCTGTCTGTAGGCTCCCTTTAGGTCCTGGAAGGCTGCAATGCGGTCACCCCACAGCCTTCTCTTCTCCAGGCTGAACAAGCCCAGCTCTCGGCCTGTCTATGCGCTCCAGTCACGAGGCCCCTCTCCCGCAGCTCCCAGTCTTTCTCGCACTGGGGCTCCGCAGCTGGACGCAGTGCCGCACACGGCGCCTCGCACCATTCCCGCTCCATTTCCCAGCTCTCCCCGCTCCCATTCATTACCGCGCTCCCGTTCACGTTCCCCTTACTTTAGCGCCCCCTAGCGGCAGCGCCTGCACGGTAAAGGGCGGCGCTGCTCACTGCGCTCGCGCGATACCTGCGCGCTGTGCGGCTGCGCGTGGCGCATGCGCGGATCGCGGCGGCCGGGGCGGCGCGGGCCGGGTGTGTTTGCGGCGCGGCTCCGGCCCGGCGGCCCCGAGGTGAGGCTGGGCGCTGCGCGGCGAACCGAGGAGCCGGGCCGCGGGGCAGAGCTGCGGGGCGCCCTTCGGTTCCGGTCGGTGCCTGAGCCGGGAGCGGCCGCGCTCGGCGTCCTGGGGCGCGGAGCGCCGTTCGGAACCCCGCCCCGGCTGCCCGCAGCGCGGCCGTGTGCCGGAGCCGCTCTGCTGCGAGCAGCTGCGGTTTGCGAGGCGTTCGTGTCGGTGGGCGATCCGCCGCCGCAGGGCCGTGCTGTGCCGCGCCCTGCTCTGCGCTTCCCCCGGCGCGGCTCGCGGGCTGTGACCGGCTGTGAGCTCCGTGCTCTGACCCGCGCTGTGTGTCCCCGCAGGCTCCATCCGTTTCCCATCCCTCCATGATGAGAGAGGCTTGGGTCCGGCTTTTCCCCTCTCCCTGTAGTTGATGGTGTTGGAAGCAGTGGTGATGCTGGAGGCGAGATGGCAGACAGCGTGAAAACCTTCCTTCATGACCTCGTCAGGGTGAGTCCCTGCGCTCCGGGGCTGCTCCTGCTGCGGGGCGCTGGGTCCTCCTGCCCCTGTGCTCTGGAAGTGGGTTACGAGATTGGAATGGGGCTCCAGATATATTTAGATTAAAGGCATCTTCAGAAATCACGTCAATGTGATGGAAAATGCCATCAGAATTTAAAAAAAACCACATTTTTAGCTTCTTAGAGTGGTGCTGTGCCCCACATCCCAGGTGGGATCCACTTCATCCCAGCTGTGGGATATGTCCCAAAGGGCAAACTGAACTGTCACAGATTCCTTCGGGCAGGAGTGACCCTTGTAGCCTTGCAGGCATTTTATGGTGACGCTTTGCCTGAACTCAGTGCTCCCTGTCTCACTTGGCTCTCCCAAGTGTTGATGTCAGACTGAAAACACTCGTGGCGTGACGCTAACAAGTAACTTGTTTTCGGTAAGTTGTTGTTTAAGAGAGCAAAGGTCTGTGGTGCCCTGGCCACAGTTCCAAGCAGAAGAACCGGTGTCATTTTGTGATGCCTTCATGCCATCTGTAAGAGGTGGCTGCAGCAGCATGTAATTACTCTCCACCTCACCACGAGCAGCAGCTTGCAATGCACTTTGTCAGATTCATGGTGTCAAAATTCATGCTGCTGGGTCAGGGGGGAGAGGTGCAGCGATGTTTCTGGGGCTGTCTGACCTGTCCATGCACGCAGGCAGTGTGATTTTGAGCCATGGTGATGTGCTCAGCCAGTGCTGCAGCAGAAAGAGGCTGCGCAGCAGCCACCCAGGCCAGCTGCAGCACATCTGTCATTAAAAGAAAGAAATGGCACTGGAAATCATTTCAGGAGCTCCCCAGAGGTTTGCACGGACGTGGCTGATGTGAGAGTGTTTCTGAGACAAGGACAGATGGTTTTATTTGTGGAGGAATAAGAATCGAGCTCGAACAGTGAGGCCACATGGACTTTGCACATTCTGAGTATTCTGTATAATTGCATTTTATTGGCCTTAGAACTGCTGGCAGGGGAAGAAGTGCATTGTGCCAGGCAGAAGAAATGGGCTGTGAGAGATCTCCGTGGCTTTTGCCAGGGTTATAAATAGAGGAGATTTATGAGGCATCACACCTTTTAAAAAAAGAAGGGGAAAAAAGAAAAAGGCTTTCCAGTGCTGTTCCTAAAGATGCTGGAACGTGTGATGTAGGTCACCAGGCCGTGGAAAGTAGCGTTACTGATCCAAATCTTGGCTTTGGCTTGGCCTTCCAGCTGGGAGCGGGGCTGGCCTTCACCCATCTGTGGGAATGGGTGATGCACATGAGGTCTGTTCCCTCATTTCTGCCCCCAGTTCTCTTCCCTGCTTACCTGAGGGTTGGCCAACCTCGCGTGGAGCGTGGGATGGATGAAGGCAGTGCTGCTGCAAATCCACCTTCATGCAACCGAGGAACTTGGGGAGGTTGTATTCATTCTTTGGAAGACGAAAATCCAGGAGGTGTTGTGCAAGGAGCAGCTGGCACCAAACACAGCTGTTTTTAAGATGGGGTTTGGTCTATCTTTCATCTCTCTTGCTTTTTCTGAGCATCGCTAACATTTCTTGGAGAGAGAAGCTTTATTTCTGGGTTGCTTTATCTTGACGTGTCACAGCATTGCTGTCCTGGCAGTGCTTCTGCTTCCTTGTGCTGTTAGCTCTGCATTCTGCGATGATGTTACATCTCTGCTACTGGGCTGGCAGCTCTTCCCAGGCAGGAGAGCTGCTGGAGCAGCAAGCAAATCTGCAGCCTTGTGCATCTGCTGGTGTGCATTTGTGTCCTTCCCTTATGGGGAGCAGCCTGGTCAGCCACGTCCCACCCCCTGCTCTGGCCATGGCTGACGTGCCGTCCTCGTGTCCGCAGGGAATCAAGGATTCCATCTGGGGCATCTGCACCATCTCCAAGCTGGATGCCCGGATCCAGCAGAAAAGGGAAGAGCAGAAGCGGAGGAGAGCGAACAGCGCGCTCGCCCAGCGGAGGTTTCACATGGAGGAGAGGAAGCAAGAGAAGTGAGTATGGAGCTTATGAGTCACAGATCAGGTAATTCGCTTGTCTTTGAGTCCCTGGGAGCGAGGGGGGAGAACCAGAGCAGAGCTCTGTGCAGAGCTTTGAGGGGCCTGATGGATTGCAAGTCACAGGGATTTGGCAGCGCGGGTGCCAAATTCTCTTTCATGCCCACTGTGTCACAGCAGTCTGGCTGAAGGGAAGTTAAGTGAGGTTTATGAAACAAAGTCATTACTTCTGCCTGCACCTGTGAAAACCTCCATAAAACTGGGTCAGATCTGCATCCTGAGTGTCACTGCAAGCTGATCTTCTGACGTGTTTGCCAGTAGTCTGCAGCAGAAACGCAGCTTATAAACCCAGCTGTGCCAACGTGCAGAGCCAGCGAGGATGAAAACCGTGCCATGAAGCACCTTGCATTCTGCAGTGGAACTGTGGGCCTTTCATGATAAGAGAGGAAATCAGGCTTTATGCTGTTTGAGGATGGAGACTATGTGGCTCTTTATCGTGGGTCCGTGCCCTGCAGTGTGAAGCCAGAAGAATGTGGAGTTCTGAGTTTGCCTTTTCCTGGATGCTGGCACTCCTGCCATGATTAAAGGTGGTTGCTGCTGGGGATGCTGATGGGATCAGGAAGAAACTGTTCTGCTTGGAGCATGCATCTCAGATCCCAGTTACATATTTGGGGCAGATGAAGGATATTTTTTTCTGCAGCCATCAATATCAGCTGCAGCTGCTAAGGCTGGGAATGCCTGAATTATATCCATGTGGGAGCAAACCAGCATCTGTTCTTGTGCCTGACTCCCAAACCACGCAGAAACGTTTCTCCCCTCTCCTAATCGCCATTGGGTGACAGCACTGCTTGGTGCAGTGATGTTTGGTTGGGAATTTGCCTTTCAAGATGTATTTGCAGATTATTTTGCCTGCTTTGGTGGTGGTTTAACCTTGTGTAAAGATGATGGCAGGGTCTGTGCTGGGATTTCTTGCAGAATTCCAGCACTCAGATAAAATCAGCGGTGCTGCTGGTGCTCGTTGGTTGTTGTAGAAACTTGCTGAGGTGTCCAAAATGTGAGACTGAAGCAGTTGCTGTTTGTCCACGCTCAGGAGCAAAGTGTCCCTCATGCACATCTGTGCTGTTGCTTTCCAGCGAGCCCCGGATCGTGAGCCGGATATTTCAGTGCTGTGCCTGGAATGGAGGTGTTTTCTGGGTAAGTGGATGTTTGGGGAGTTTTCCACGTTCAAATGCTGTGATGTGCTGCAGTGCTTGTGAGCTTTCAGCAGGGCTTGGCTGCCCCGCAGTTGAGAGGCTGTGGGAGCAGAGGGAATCCTTACATCTCCCAGTGCCAGCACTGTCCTTAAAGGAGGTGGTGCAGGACTGAAGTGATAGAGTAACTTGAGAACAGTTTGTGTCAAAACCTGATTTTACAGGTCTTTCAGGCTGTGCTTTTCCTGCACATTCAAGCCTTGCAGTCAGGGATGTTGTTTACCAAAATGGATATTGGTATCTCAAGACATTGCCTCAGCTCTGACCTTACCATGACTGTGAATAAGTTTGATTAGACTGCTGGTTAATGGAGCACATGCTTTGCAATCTACTGCATCACCAACTTCATTTTTCCATTAGGCTGTGGCAGAGTATGAGGAGTCAGGGTAAAAACGTTAAACTTCTTAATCAGAGATGTTGGCTGTATTTGAACAGAGATCCTTGGTTCTGTGTTGATGGATCAACGCCCTTGTAATGGTGTGAATGGAGCAGGCAGAGGCTCTGCCTGCAGATCAGCAGTGACTGCCTTCAGATCAGCTGTGTGCACGTTACTGTTTGAAACTGAGCAATTTAGCTGCCAAATAGGAAGCTGTCTGCTGGCCCCATGGTGCGGCTTTGAGGCCACGGTGGCAGCAGAAGGGCTGTGGTGCCTTCGGGGGGGTTTGTGCTGGAGGTTTATTGGGTGTGTTGGGATTTCACCGCGCCAGGTGGCAGAATGGAGCACAAGAAGCAAATGTGCAAAGCCTCACCACGAACCCTTGTTGTTTCTCTTTCCCTGTAGCTTAGTCTCTTCTTGTTTTACCGAGTGTTTATACCTGTGCTTCAGTCGGTCACAGCTCAGATCATCGGTGAGTGCTCTCCTGTCTGTGTATGAAGGGGCACGGAGTAGTGAGGCAAGGCTGTGATTAATTGTTCAGTAGAAAATCAGACAGATGGGTAATCAGGCTGGAAGGGTTGGCAACAGTCTTTGAACTCTCGTTGTGTCAGGGATCTAGCCCACGTGTTTTGCTACTGAACACCCGTGGTTGTCAATAGATACAAATATTTTTGCAAATAAGTGCAGTGCAAGTGGGTGGAAATGTGCCTTTAAGGGAGAAATGCTAAGGTTGGAGCACTTTACTCAAGCACTACAATGAGAATGTCACTGTACCAGGGCGGTTTAACACGGACCTGGGGGGTTGTGATGTGAAATGAGGAGGTTCCTGACGTGCTGCTTTCTGCCCATCTTCCAAAGGTGACCCTTCCTTACACGGCGATGTCTGGTCCTGGCTGGAGTTCATTCTCACCTCCATTTTCAGTGCCCTCTGGGTCCTTCCCCTGTTTGTGCTCAGTAAGGTCGTCAATGCCATCTGGTTTCAGGTAGGAAGGTGGACTCATGCAAATGATGGGCGATTTCTGTGTTAAAGCTTAATTGGTCAGGAGGAAATGGGCGGGACACCCTGCGGCCCCTCTTGGTGACGACATGGGGTGGCATTTTGGGTCCAGATAAAACACAGCACGTCGAGCCCAGAAGTGGCACAGGCTGCGTGTTTGAACCACCTTGGGAGCCCTGCGTAGGTGTGGGGCAAACTTCCAGGATTGGAGAATCTGGAATCCCGTCCTGCAGAGCAGCTGGCGCTGTTTGTAGGGGTGAGCGCAGCTGAGCAGCGCGGTCTGGTGGTGAGCTGTTTGTCCTTCCCTCCCGTGCAGGACATTGCAGATCTCGCATTCGAGGTTTCTGGCAGAAAGCCTCACCCCTTCCCCAGCGTCAGTAAAATCATTGCCGACATGCTGTTCAACCTCCTGCTGCAGGCGCTGTTCCTCATCCAGGTGAGATCCCAGCGCTGACGGCCAGGCGCACGGCTGCCGTGCTGAGCAGCCCTCCCTCACCGGCCCTCTTCTTCCGCAGGGGATGATTGTGAGTCTGTTCCCCATCGATGTGGTCGGCCAGCTGATCAGCCTCCTGCACATGTCCCTGCTCTATTCTCTCTACTGTTTCGAGTACCGCTGGTTTAACAAAGGTGGGTGCTGCCTCCTGCAGAACGGCCTCTGTGCCCGCGTGCTGCCGGCAGGGCAGGTGTGCAGCTGTGCATGTGGCAGAGAAGCGAGCAAACCTCTTGGCAGTTCTGCAGCAGCTGACAGGAGCCGCTTTGCTGGCTATTGCTCTTCATTCTGATGCTACTGTATGAGTTTGTTTTCTGTTTGCTCTTTAAGACAGCAATCCAAAGTATTCCCGTCTTCTTTGAAGAAGGCTGGAAATAAAAAGCGCTTCTTGTTCTGTTCATCGTTTTCCTCTACAAGTAGTGAAGGTCTTTCCCCAGCGTGCCAACTCAGTGGGTTTCTTTGGGGTTTTTGTTCTCACTAGGAATTGAAATGCACCAACGGTTGTCCAACATTGAGAGAAACTGGCCCTATTACTTTGGATTTGGCTTACCACTGGCTTTCCTCACCGCAATGCAGTCCTCCTATATCATCAGGTGAGTCTTCAGGGGTCAGGTTGCTGTCTGGGGGGAGCAGGACACATTAATGCCCCTTTCCCAACTTCTACCCTCCTTTACATCAGAGATGTGTACCCTTATCCACAGCACCACCCATCACAGAGAACTTTCAGCAAACCCTTTTCTTTTTCCTTTCAGTGGCTGCCTCTTTTCCATCCTTTTCCCTCTGTTCATCATCAGCGCCAACGAAGCGAAGACACCTGGCAAAACGTAGTAAGTAGAGGCTTGGGGATGCTCCGTGGTGGTGTTCGATCTGGGACAGATGTGCTAAACAGAAGCAGCACAGGGAGAGCAGGCTTCCAGCTGGGTTGGTGAGGTGGAAATAGCAGGGCTGAGCTTTCCGTACCTGTTAGACTCCCCCTATCCATAAAGGCATGACAAATGCTGTGAGGGCTGAAGGGGGCTTTTTGGACGCAGGGTGCCATGTTGGTGTGGCATCAGGGAGAGCCCAAACTACGCAGCGAGCTCACAGCCTCTCTTCCCTTCCAGCCACTTCCAGCTCCGTCTCTTCTCCCTGGTGGTTTTCCTCAGCAACAGACTCTTCCACAAGACCGTTTACCTTCAGTCCACCCTGAGCAGCGCCTCTGCAGACAGGCTGCTCTCTCCCCAGCCATCTCCTGCCAAACACAAGCCTGCTCCGGGGCACTGAACCACAGCCCAAAGGGGGGACATGATGCAGGCCGGGCCTCAGCTGCTAGAAACCTCCTGGGGAAATGCAGGACCCAGCATGCGAGGCACTCGCGTGTTTTCCCACCACCAGAAGCCCCCCTGGGTGTTTCCATGTCCCCCACTGTGAGCATGCAGGTGGAGAGTTTGGGAGAAGTGTGGATTTTTAACACCTTTGTCAGATACAAGAAGCCAGGTTCCCTGTGCTTGTTTTATAGCATGTTCCCAGCCCTTCCCTTGGACTGTTTTGTACTTCCTTCCTGTGCCATCTCCCTCCCCTCAGATGAGTGCTTTGTGGCCCCTGTTCTGCCCTAGCTTTGTGGGTAACCTGTGCTGTGTCTCCCTGTACCGTTGTCCTTTGTATGTTGTAACTCAGGTCGGGGTTTTTGTAGTCCTGCTGTGCTGAGCAGCTCCCAAGGGCTGTCAGCCCAGGGGGGGCAGCTCAGCCTCCCCGCCCCGCAGTGACCAGCTCTGGTCCCCGGTTGCAGACAGCCCCATGACAAGTGCCACCTTCCAGGGCTCAGTACGGGAGGGCACCGTCCTGCAGAGAGGGAGCCAGCTCCACGCCATGGCCACCAAACGCTCGGGGTTTTTACATCTCTGAAATTGCAAAGGGAAATTGCTTAAACAAGGTCAGGAACCGAAATGGAAACTTGGGAAATGCATTAAATCTGGGGTTGGGTATGAGGTTTTTTTGGGTTTTCGTGCATTTTTCATTTCTGTTGTGGCCATTAAGCTACTTGTGAGCAGCACCTGCCTGGAGGTTTTCCATGGACACAGGGATGCATCACCGCAGTGGCTCCACACGCTGTTCTGCTGTACCCAGAGCAGGGCTGTTGGTTTTCGGTTGTAGCGGTGGCCGCGCTGCTTTGTCCACGTGTGTGGGTGTGGCTCTGTGCGCGGTCCGTCCCGTAGTGCGTTCCAGATGCACAGCGCTGCCTCTCCACTGCCCCGTGGTTTTTCACAACAGGGGTCAGGCTTTGGAGAAACAAACTTGTTCTCGAGTATTTTCACAATGAAATGTTAAATGAAAAAAAAAAAAAATCGAGTTTCAGCCATCCCGCATGCAGCAGTTTATTTGGCGCGGCCGTTCTCGGGTTCTTCTCGGGGTGAATTCGGGACAAATCTGCCCTGCCTCAGCTCCGCCTCGGGGTGCGGGCCCGGCGCTCCCACGTGGCGTCCCCCGCGTGGCGCGCACCGCCCGCTTCCGGGCACGTGACCGGCCGCGCCCCGCCCTCGGGGCTCCGAGCCCGGACGGACACGTCACTGCTCGCTCTCAAGCGGCCCCGCCCTCCGCACGCTCCGCCAATCGGAAGGCTCCGTGCAAATCCCGCCCTCCGCGTTGTGCTGAATGAGCGGCGGCGTCGCTCGAGTGGCGTCGCATCGGGCCAATGGGAAGCCGGCGGAGCGGTGAGGCGGGCCGGGGCGGCTGCGCGGGGCGGATGGCCGGGGCGGCGGGGCCGAGAGCGGCGCCCGGGTGAGGGCGGGGGGCGGCGGGGGAGCGGGGCGGGGCGGCCGGGCCCAAAGGGCTGAGAGCCGTTTTGGCGTTGGGCCGCGCCGTGCCAGGCCTGAGGGGTGAGGAGCGCGGCCCGGGAGCTGCGGGATGGTGGGGCTGGGAGCCGAGCTGAGAGGCGGCGCGGGGCGCGGGGTGCCGAGCGCTGGGTGCTGAGCTCTGAGCACGGGCCGCGCCGTTACGGGGCGACGGGCTGCGGGGCGGCGGGCGGCGCGGGGCTGCGGGACAGCGGGGCACCGGCTGCCGTGGGGGCTGCCGCGGCCTGCAGGGCTCGCAGGGCGGCGGGGCAGCGCTGAGCCTTCCTGCCCCGCACCGCGCTGCGCTCTGCCCTTTTATCGCCGTTCTGCCCTTATCGCTGCTCTGTACCCATCGCTGCTGACCGTTACCTCGAGGCCCAGAAATGCTCACACGCAGCCTTGTTTCTGTGTCACTGTAGATGGCCGGAGGTCAGAATCGCTGCTCAGTCACAAAATGGTTTTCAGGTGCACTCTGCTATTTCTAAATCTCAGCCTGGCCAAATAAGCTCCCACGTGGCCTTTTAACTCGCAGATACGGACTGCGGCTTTATCAGCCCGCTCTGGACCAGGGCTACAGCAATTTGGGTTCTTTCGTTTTTCCGATCTGAGTGGGCAGAAAGCATCTCTAAAAATTCAGGGTGTTTCCAGAGAATGAAGCCGTTAATCCCTGCCTGCAGTTTCACTTCCTTGGTGCCTGACATCAGGTTTTCACTGTTTTTTCCTCCACCCAAGGAGGTCAGGTCAAACAGCTGCAGCATGCAGCGCCACAAGAGCTGCCTGTGCAGATCTGTGTTAGCAAACCTCTGCCTGTGTGCATTGCAGAGCAGCAGTTTGGAACCTCTGTGGGTTTGTTGTGCATCTCCTATAGCTCGGCCAAGGAAAACCAGCCTTGGTTCTTTAGCTGCTGAAAGCTTAGGGTTATTTTGTTTCGCACACAGAGAAACAGACACATCGGCCCCAAAGAAGTTCTGCTCTCTGTGAAAGAAGTTGAAGCCTCAGCCAAGATTTGGGCCGACTGATCAGGTGAGGCTCTGGGGTTCAAGGGGCAGAAGGGAGGCAGCAGATACACGGCAGGGGCCCGGCCCCACTCTCTGACAATCTCCATTTCTCATTTTTAGGTTTTCAGGTGTCTGTTTCCCTGCCTTTGACGTGACGATGACCAAGCTGGGGTTCCTTCGGCTCTCCTATGAGAAGCAGGACACGCTGCTCAAGCTCCTCATCCTGTCCATGGCAGCTGTGCTGTGTAAGTCTGCAGGACCCCAGGAACTGCCACTGCTCCTCCTTCAGTTCTTTCTTAGGTCACCAAGCTCCCATCTGTCCTTAAAGTGTGACCCACATGCACCCTGTTATTCATTCAGTGCTGTTTCCTTTGGAAACTCATTCTTCTTTTCTTTGTGTTTACAGCTTTCTCCACAAGACTCTTTTCTGTCTTAAGATTTGAAAGTGTCATCCATGAATTTGACCCGTAAGTGTCTTCCCCTCGTCCTGTGGGTTTCCCTCTTTGGGATCAGTGGATGCTGGGTGCTGTTGTCCAACCTGTGTCTGGGCTCAGAGGTGCTCATGTTGCTGCAGGTACTTTAACTACCGCACAACCCGCTTCCTGGCAGAGGAAGGCTTCTACAAATTCCACAACTGGTTTGATGACCGAGCCTGGTACCCCTTGGGCAGGATTATTGGTGGAACCATTTATCCAGGTAGGCCAGCAGGCTTTGGCTGTGCTAGAACGAGCTTTGTGCAATGCAGGGCTGCCAGGGCGTGGATTTGGGACAGCAGCAGCTCCTGTCTGTTCCGTCCTTCCCACCTTTTTGGCTGCCCTGCTCCAATTGCAACCTGCTGATGGTGCCACGTCCATCCCGCAGGGCTGATGATCACTTCAGCAGCCATCTACCACGTGCTGCACTTCTTCCACATCACCATCGACATCCGGAACGTCTGCGTCTTCCTGGCACCCCTCTTCTCTTCCTTCACCACCATTGTGACTTACCACCTCACCAAAGAGCTCAAGGTACAGGGAGGACCATGTCAGCGTTAGGTTTTATTCCTTTGAGGCGTCTCTGTGCACGCAGGGCTGTGATCTGATGGTTCTCTTGCCCTCTGGCTGTGCTCCCCAGGATGCGGGCGCAGGGCTCCTCGCTGCTGCCATGATTGCAGTTGTGCCTGGGTACATCTCACGTTCTGTTGCTGGATCCTACGATAACGAAGGTGAGTTTGTAGCACTCAGAATCAGGAAACCTTTAGGAAGCCAGGTTCCTCTCCCCTCTATGGGCCGTGGGGGACCACATAAGGAATCACTGCTGCACTAAAGGGTAGCTGGTGAAGCCAGAAACCACGTTGACTCCTAAATATTACCATGTTTCAGTCTTGCAATCTGATATGGAACTGTTTTCCTACTATTCATACAAGGTGCTGTTCTTTCTGGTGGAGCAGCAGCAAGATAGGCAGATTTCTATGTATGTATGTTTTAATGCAGTCAGACATTCTGATGTATATTGACATTGTGGTTCGCTGACATCCAGGGTGATGTGAGCTTGCTCTGACCTCGCTTTGTCTCCCCACCCAGGTATTGCCATTTTCTGCATGCTGCTAACTTACTACATGTGGATCAAGGCCGTGAAAACTGGCTCTATCTATTGGGCAGCGATGTGTGCTCTTGCCTATTTCTACATGGTGAGCATTCCTTGTCCTGGCACCCAGGTGTCTGATAAATCTGGGCTTCTGGCAGCCGGGGCTGTTCAGTGCTCTTTTTGGGGAGAGCATGTGATCCCAGGAGAACAGAACTTGCTGCTGGACCCCACCGTGCAGCCTGTCCAGCCCTGGAATTGGTGTTTTTCATTTTTCTCTTCCCAGGTCTCCTCGTGGGGTGGCTATGTCTTCCTGATCAACTTGATCCCACTGCACGTCCTTGTGCTGATGCTGACTGGCCGCTTCTCACACAGGATCTATGTTGCCTACTGCACTGTGTACTGCCTGGGGACGATCCTCTCGATGCAGATCTCCTTTGTTGGCTTCCAGGTGAGGCCTTCCAGCACTGCTTGTCTGTCAAGAAGTCTTGGAAGTTCCATTTTCCATGAAGGAGCCGCTCACACCAGCACACATCTCCATGCAGCAGGAAACGTAGTTGGTGTCTTCAAGGGAAGCAGTTGTCTCTTTCTCACCTTTAGTGTCCTGGTCTGGGGAATACAGGTTTTGTGGACTTGGGAATTTTGTCGGGAGGAGAGCTGACAGCAAGGAGGGCTCTCAGAGTTCATTTTTCATGTGCATTCCTATCAGAATTGAGGCTGATTAGCAATTAGTCATGTCCACAGGGAGGAAATGGCTTCCTACGACTTCAGCAAGTCATGACTTCAGCACTGATTTCGCTGAGGTCTGTTTTTGCAGTGACTCAGCTGCTCTTTCCTTCTGTCTGATCACACTCTCCCCTGCTTGCAGCCTGTCCTCTCCTCAGAACACATGGCTGCCCTGGGCGTCTTTGGCTTGTGCCAGATCCATGCCTTTGTGGACTACCTCCGCAGCAAGCTGAACCCACAGCAGTTCGAAGTCCTCTTCAGGAGCGTCATCTCCCTGGTTGGCTTCGTCCTGCTGACAGTCGGGGCTGTGCTGATGCTCACAGGTAGTTCAATGAGTGGTGCTGCCATTCGTGGTGATGTTGCTGAGCACGTTTCACCGCTGGCTTCGTCTCTTTCCAGTGCTTTGAATCATAGAACCACAGAATCATTACAGTTAGAAAAGACTTTTCAGATCACCAAGTCCAACCCCAGCCCACCCGTTAACCCCCCCCTAAGGGCACACCTTTTGTCAGTCATGGTTTCTGCATTAATGCTTGCACCATGTTGGGGAGAAATCTTTAGTGTAAAATCACACTTAATTTCCTTTCTAAAATAAGAGTTTTGAGTAATGGAGATGTTAAGTGAGGTGCAGGATTGCTCATTCAGCTTTGCACTTTTCCCTTAGGACAGAACCTGTTGGCTCTGCTAGCTGTGATGCTGATTTTCTCCTCTCTGCTAGGGAAAATCTCCCCATGGACGGGTCGTTTCTACTCCCTGCTGGATCCTTCTTATGCCAAGAACAACATTCCCATCATTGCCTCTGTCTCAGAGCACCAGCCCACCACCTGGTCCTCCTATTACTTTGACCTGCAGCTCCTCGTGTTCATGTTCCCAGGTGAGCCCAGCCTGGTTGCAGCCGGACCCTCAGGTGGTCTCTGGGTTTGTTACATCCCTGCAGTGTGCTGCATGTCTCCACCAGGTGGATTTTCTTTCAGGCTGAGGGGAATCTCACCTGTTTCTCTTTCCTCTTTGCAGTTGGTCTCTATTACTGCTTCAGCAATCTCTCAGACGCCCGCATTTTTATCATCATGTACGGTGTGACCTCCATGTACTTCTCTGCTGTGATGGTGAGGGCTGCTCGGGTTGGTGCACTGTTGTGGGACTGAGCAGGACACAAGCAGGATGATGAGATGATCTTAGCGAGGCTGACTTTTTTTTCTGAGCTTGTTGGTAACGGCTTTAAACTAAGGGGGTACGTTTAGGTTAGATGTTAGGAAGTTCTTCACCCAGAGGGCGGTGGGACCCTGGCGCTGCCTCAGAGGAGTGGGTGCCCCATCCCTGGAGGTGCCCGAGGCCAGGCTGCGTGGCTCTGCCCAGCTCCCTGCCCCTGCAGGCTCTGATGGCCGTGCCGTTGCCCGCAGGTGCGGCTGATGCTGGTGCTGGCCCCAGTGATGTGCATCCTCTCCGGCATCGGCGTGTCTCAGGTGTTGTCCACCTACATGAAGAACCTGGACATCAGCCGGCCGGACAAGAAGAGCAAGAAGCAGCAAGACTCCACCTACCCCATCAAAAATGAAGTGAGTGCTGGGCAGCTCGTGGCTGCAGGGAAGAGGAGAGTCGTTGCTTTTCCTGCTGGGGATGGGAGGGAGGTGGGAGTGCTCTCTCCCCTCCTGCAGTGACACCTGTTTGCACCCCCAGGTTGCCAGCGGCATGATCCTGGTGATGGCTTTCTTCCTCATCACCTACACCTTTCACTCCACCTGGGTGACCAGCGAGGCGTACTCCTCGCCCTCCATCGTGCTGTCAGCGCGCGGCGGGGACGGCAGCAGGATCATCTTTGATGACTTCAGGGAGGCTTACTACTGGCTGCGGCACAACACGCCGGAGGTAACGGCGCTCCGGGCCCGGCGCGTGCCAGCACCCCTCTGAGTGCTGACAGCCCGCGTTTGGCTGCAGGACGCCAAGGTGATGTCCTGGTGGGACTACGGCTACCAGATCACCGCCATGGCCAACCGCACCATCCTGGTGGACAACAACACCTGGAACAACACCCACATCTCCCGCGTTGGGCAGGTAGGTGCTCCCACCCCTCGCCTGTGGCTCGGAGCGCTGCGGCGCCTCACAGCCGGGTCCCCCGCAGGCGATGGCCTCGACGGAGGAGAAAGCCTACGAGATCATGCGAGAGCTGGACGTGAGCTACGTGCTGGTGATATTCGGCGGCCTCACCGGCTACTCGTCGGACGGTAAGAGCCCCCGGCACCATGCGTGCCCCCCGCGCGCCCGCCGCTCACCCTCCATCTTTTGCAGACATCAATAAGTTCCTGTGGATGGTGCGCATCGGCGGCAGCACGGACACGGGCCGGCACATCAAGGAGCACGACTACTACACGCCGACCGGCGAGTTCCGCGTCGACCGCGAGGGCTCCCCGGTGCTGCTCAACTGCCTGATGTACAAGATGTGCTACTACCGCTTCGGGCAGGTCTACACCGAGGCCAGTGCGTGTCCCGTGCCGCGCCGCCGCGTGCCAGCGGCCGTGGGGCCGTGGTGGCACAGCGCTGCTTTGTGTCCCCGCAGAGCGGCCGCCGGGCTACGACCGCGTGCGCAACGCTGAGATCGGGAACAAGGACTTTGAGCTGGACGTGCTGGAGGAGGCGTACACCACAGAGCACTGGCTGGTCCGGATATACAAAGTACGAGGCCGGCGTGAGCCCCAGCTCTGGAGGCGCCCCGCGTCGCCCGCCGTTACCACAGGTTTCCTCTCTTGCAGGTGAAGGATTTGGACAACCGCGGCTTGTCGCGGACGTAGAGCCCTGCGCTGCCCCAGCCTTGGCCTGTGAAGCAGAAATGTTATTTTTGGATTTTCTGTTTTTTGGGGGTTGTTTTTGTTGTTGTCGTTGTCGTTTGGGTTCTTTTTTTTTTTTTTTTTTTTTTTTTTTACCATTCATGAGTGCAGGAGGAGATGGGCGCCCCCACCCCTGCTGCGTGCCGGGGGGTTTTATATCACACGCAGAGCAGTCACCAAATCAAATCACGGCTTTACGGGGGTTGATTAAAGGGGAATTACCGACGTCTGCCTTTTCGTTGTCGCGCTCGGTTCGTTCCCCATTCGGACCCGCGCGGTTCGCGGCCTTCCGGCGCTTTTGGAGCCGCGGGGGCGGGGCGGGGCTTCGGCTGCGCGCGCAGCGCGGGGCGGGGCGCGGAGCGCTGGCGGGAACGGGCGGCGCGGGCTGAGCCGTGCGGGGCGGTGCGGGATGGCCGTGCCGTTCGTGGAGGACTGGGACCTGGTGCAGACGCTGGGAGAAGGCGCCTACGGGGAGTGAGTGCGGGGGCCGAGGGGGGGGAAGTCCCGGAGCAACGCGGAGAGGCCTTTGCGTGCCGCTCTCCCCGCGTGCATCACGCGCCTCCCCGCCGGCACGGCGCGGGCACCTCGCGTGCGCACCGCTTGGCCGTCGCGGGCCGTTGCGCGGTGCTTCTGCGTGCATCTCCTGCCTTCCGCACGCCCGCTTTGTGGCCTTTGTCCAGCGCCCGCTTTGCGCCTGTTGCGTGACCGCCGCGTGCCGCTGGGCGCTCCCCGCTCGGACGCCGCGTCCTGCTCGCGCGTTGCCCGCCCGTTTTGTGCCTGCGCCGCGCACCCGCTGCGTCCCCTCTGCTTGCCAACTGCACGCCCTCCGCCTGCCCTGATGCACACCTGTGGTGCCCGGCCCCTCTCCTTCCTGGCCGTGCCCTGCAGGGTGCAGCTGGCCGTGAACCGCCGCACCGAGGAGGCCGTGGCCGTGAAGATTGTGGACATGAAGCGCGCGGCCGACTGCCCGGAGAACATCAAGAAGGAGATCTGCATCAACAAGATGCTGAACCACGAGAACGTCGTCAAGTTCTACGGGCACCGGCGCGAGGGGGCCACGCAGTACCTCTTCCTGGAGTACTGCAGCGGCGGGGAGCTCTTCGACCGCATCGGTGCGTTGCAGAATGCAAACTGCAGAATGCCTTGCAAACTGCGTTGGAACGGAGCTCCGTGTGTGGCTGGGAGCTGCGGCTCCCGTCCTCACTCCTTGCTGGTTGCAGAGCCGGACATCGGGATGCCGGAGCCGGAGGCGCAGCGCTTCTTCCAGCAGCTGATCGCTGGTGTGGTGAGTGCTGTGGGGCAGCGCTGAGGGAGCCGCGGTGCGCCGTGGTGGCAGCAGTGACCCCCATCCCACCCGTAGGTGTACCTGCACAGCATGGGCATCACGCACCGTGACCTCAAGCCAGAGAATCTGCTGCTGGATGAGCGAGGTGTGCTCCCCACCTCGACCTCCTGCTGCGTTTGATCACTTTAACTTCACTGTTTCTATCCGTTTTCCACCCAGACAACCTGAAGATCTCCGATTTCGGCCTGGCCACCGTCTTCAAGCACAACGGGCGCGAGCGGCTGCTGAACAAGATGTGTGGCACGCTGCCCTACGTGGCCCCCGAGCTGCTGCGGCGCCCCGAGTTCCGTGCGGAGCCCGTGGACGTGTGGGCCTGCGGCGTGGTGCTGACTGCCATGCTGGCGGGAGGTGGGCATGGGGGGCACAGGGGATGCATGGGGGGGGACAGGTGAGGTACATAGGAGCGCACATGGGATGCGTAGGGGAGGTGAGATGTGCGGGGTGGGGGTGGCACTCGTGAGAATCAAATGCCAGGTGTGGTGCAGAGCAGCGATGCCTCACGTGGGAGGTTGCAGTGGTGTTGCAGTGGATGTTTTGCACGGCGCAGAGCCGTACGTCTGCACGCTGTGCACCTTGGCACATCGCGTCCTTTTGAAAGCAAACGGGAAAGGCAGCGTTCCTGCCTGCCTTTGCCAATCTCTTGTGCCACCCCTGCTGTCCCCTCTCCCATAGAGCTGCCCTGGGATCAGCCCAGCGACAGCTGCCAGGAGTACAGCGACTGGAAGGAGAGGAAGACCTACCTGGCACCCTGGAGGAAGATCGACTCCGCGCCATTAGGTACGCAGCTGGAGGCGGCGGTGCCCCCCACCACCCCACCCCTCCTACGTGCACCCCATTCCTTACAGCACTGCTGCACAAGATCCTGACCGAGAGCCCCACGGCTCGCATCACCATCCCCGACATCAAGAAGGACCGCTGGTACTGCCGGCCCCTGAAGAAGGGTAAGGGCTGTGGGGCAAAACGCGTTTCCTGCCTGAGCTGTGCGCAGTGTGGGGTTTTCCTTGTCTTGCAGGCACAAAGCGTGGCCACGTGTCCTCAGGTGGTGTCACCGAATCCCCCGGAGCCTTCCCCAAGCACATCCGCTCTGACACAGACTTCTCTCCTGTGAAGGGTGCCCTGGGGTGAGCAGGCTGCACCACACCTCCCTGCTGTCTTTCTGCAGTGCAGGTGTCCTTCTGCATTGCAACAGCTGGCGCAAACCAGCTCGATGCACGCACGACCCCACACTCATCCTTTCCCTACTTGTGCATGCAGAACCCTGAAGAGCTACAGCCCTCTCAGCCACCCCTCTTGTAATCTCATCTGCTTGCCTTGCAGCGAGGACAAGGCGAGTTACTCCACGTCACAGCCTGAGCCCGGCACCGGCGGTACGCTGTGGGACAGCAGCACAGGCAGCATCGACCGCCTGGTGCAGGGCATCAGCTTCTCACAGCCTGCCTGCCCCGAGCACATGCTGCTCAACAGCCAGCTGCTGGGCACGCCAGGTTCCTCCCAGGTGCGCTCCCTTAGGATTCGGTGTGCAGCATTGCGACCTTTTAGACGCGTATCTGCAGTGTTTGTAATGCCAGGATGCAACCTCGCAACCTTTGGGGTGCAGCTATGCAGTATTTCTAATCCGAAGGGGCTGCTTAGCAAAACTAGAGATGCTGCTTTGCAACATATACCACCTTAGGTGGCAACTTTGCATCGTTTGCAATCAGGGTGCTACTTTGCCAGAGTTGGGGTGCTATTCTGCAGCATCAGACTTGGCACATTTATAACACTTGGGATGCAACTTTGCACTGTTGATAATACTGGGGACGCAGGTTTGCAATCCCTGAAGTGCTTGGGTGCAGCTCTGCAGGGCCGGGGGCTGCTCCCGCCGTTCTGTAGCGCTATTTTAGCGTGCAGCTCGCAATGTTTTCCACGAGGGGGCGCAGCTCGTCAATACCGCACGCGGGTAGCAGGGTCGCGGCGCACCTTGACGCGCCTTCGGGCTTCGGGGCCGCGCGGACGGCTTTGCATCAGCGGGGTGCGGGCGCAGCACTGCAGCTCTGCAGCGTTCCTGATGCGTTCTGTGCTGCAGAGCCCGTGGCAGCGCCTGGTGAAGAGGATGACGCGCTTCTTCACCAAGCTGGACGCCGACGGCTCCTACCGCAGCCTGAGGGACGTGTGTGAGAAGATGGGCTACGGCTGGAAGCAGAGCTGCACCAACCAGGTGGGGCCGGGCCGGGCGGTGCGGGGATGGGGCTGAGCCCCCCTGACGCCGTGGCCCCGCAGGTCACCATCTCCACCACGGACCGAAGGAACAACAAGCTGATCTTCAAGGTGAACCTGCTGGAGATGGAGAGCAGGATCCTGGTGGACTTCCGCCTCTCCAAGGTGGGTCTGGGGGGCACGGCGGGCACAAAGCAGCTCGCGGTGGGTGCACGCATCGCTGGCGGGGTGTTGGGGTGCTGCTGACCGCTGGCTGCTGGCTGCTCTCCCCATGCAGGGCGACGGGTTGGAGTTCAAGCGGCATTTCCTGAAAATCAAAGGCAAACTGAGCGACGTGGTCAGCAGCCAGAAGGTGTGGCTGCCCCCACCCTGAGCCCCTCTTCCTCCTCCTCCTCGTCCTCCTCACCCCCTGGGGCTCCCGTAGCCCCCAGCAGAGCTGTGCTCCCTATGGGGGCGGCCCGGCTCTGCGCCTGCTGCGGCTTTTATGGGTTCAATAAAGCTTGGGATCACAGCTCAGCTCCGTGCCATCTTAGGGGCGTTCCGGGCGCAGCGCCGCTTTGGAGCAATCAGCCCCTGCTGTTCTGCAGCACTGCTCGCTCTGGAACCGACTGATGGTGCAGAGGCTCCCCTTTGAGCTCTGTGGCTCCATCCACGCCCCGGAGCTGTGGGGGCAGCTCGGGGTCCTCCCCGCTCCCTGCCCTCTCAGGGCGACAGCTGCCCCCCTCCCAGCCTCTCTAATTGCTTTTCACAGCGCTAACGAGCCCGGAGCTGCCAGGAGTTGTTAGCGCTGGAGCGAGAGGAGCGCAGGGATTAACCCAGGGCAGGGCTCCCCCCTTCTCCACCCCCCCAAAAAAGAAAAAAAGGGCATCCCCCAAACCCCACCCCGAGATGCACATCGCACCACTCAGCCCCAAACCCACCGATCCTGCTGCTGGCTCCACTTACTGGGTTGGAAAAAGACTCTTTCCGTTGTTTTCTCCTTTTTCCAGTGGAAGCCCCCCCTTCGGCCGAGCAATTAACGGGTCCTTTTGGGGTTTTTTAATTGCGTATTTATATTGCAGCCAGGAACGAGACTCCGGCAGCGGGCGAGGGGCAGCAGGAAGACGCCGCCCCGACCCCGTGTGCTTTTCAGCCAGGATTAAGCACGGTTAATTGTCGCAGAGATCACAGATTGCAGCCGGGGGATAATTAGGCTGAACGCGGGCTTTTCTGGTTCAGTCCCCCGGGGGCTCCCGGTGGGCACAGATTTGGGTTTCCAGGCAAAAAGGAGGTTGGGAACACCCTTAGAGTGAGGATTTTCGGGGTGGGAGCTGAGAACGGAGGGTTGCTGTGCAGAGCCTCCCACAGCTCACTGCTGGGAAATCGGTGCTGTTTGCAGGAAAGGTTTCTTTACCAGGGGAAAACCTGCCCTTTGGTTCATCCCCCACAGCATTTTGCTTTGCCTGTTGTCTACCCCTGTTTTGGGGGTCACAGGGGTGTCCCATGGGTTTGAGCATCGAGCATCACTGTGGGTGATGGCGGTAAGCCTTTAGTAACCATGTAGTAACTCTTCAGTAAACCTGTAGTAAACCTTTTATCCCCTATACAGGGCTCTTACAGCAGGTGCAGGATTTAGGATGCCGATGTTAGGATGTAGATGCAGGTTTTAGGGTGCAGGCACAGGACACAGGACCCAGCAGGTTCA